AAAGTGTCGTCGCGGTTTGTGTGTTGTGAAAAAGAAGGTAATATCTGTGAATTCATGTTTTTAAGAATAAACACATAGGATATGTTTATAGACTCCTTTAGTGTTTTTCTGTAGCCTGTGCCAACTGGCATGGGATCCTGTGAACTGCTGCTCACACGAAGGGAAATGAGGGTGGTAGCCATTGAAGTAAACAGAGTGACTTTCTACGTAAGAATATGCCTGTCAGTCCTCTCATACTCTGGAACCATTTCCACTATGCCTGACAGTCTTCTTTCAACGAGAAGAAGAGACAAAGGTCTCTGCCTCATGTGATTTACATTTGTGGGAGAGCGAACAGATGAAATAAACAAGGAGTGTAAAAAACATGTTAGTAAGATAGTAGCAGGTGATTGTACTTTGCAGAATCATGATGAGCAGAGCAGATAGAATCAGTGTTCCAGGAAGGCTGCTGCAGGTCAGTGGGCCTCAGACAGGTGTCCAGAGAACTAACACTGTCACACAGGCCATGTGACAATGCCTGACTCAGATGGCCCAGTTTCTGAAACTCCTTAACAGAACTACTCAGGATGGTCAGTTGTTGTGCTTCCAGACAAGAAGTAACTGCTTTTCCTTGGCCGCCATTCTCATTTATGTGTTCACCTCAGCACAACAGGGCAGTGAGAAGAATATCAAAGCCTGGGAATGGCGAAACATACCTCCTGGAGCTTCTGACCTGGTGGTCCTGACCTCTCCTGTGGAACTTGTGGCCTCTGAGAGAGAAGAAAGCAAGAATGAAGTCTGCAGTATGGGGAGTGCAGGGTTATGTTACCCTAGAGGCCTGTCACCCAAGCAGCCATGGTGTAGCATTCCCTGTATACTTTTTGACTTGCCTGTGTTGTCATTCCCAGGCTCCAGAGTCTTTCCAGAGAATGCCCCAGTGGTAGCTATTAAGAAAGAGATGGGTAGTCGTGGGTCAGTACCTTGTCATCATCAAGTGGGCAGAGAATAACAATCTCATAAATGGATAAATCTGTATGCTTATTCAGTATTTCAGGAAACCAGGCTTTAAATCCCAAAAGGTCATCCATAGACTCCTCATATAACATCCTTCCCACGGTATAGTACCAAAGGAATTTAACTTATTGGATCTCCATTTCTCTAGGGTTCAGGAACAGGGTCCTAGCAGCTATCATTCTAGATTCTCTATATAACTGTCCAATGGCTGCATGATTACCTTGGGGACTAGAGGAAACGTCTGCTTAAAGTATAGAAAGAAATTAAATTTTGAGTTTCTGATTTGCCATCACTGATTTGCTATTTTTGAGTTTCCAATTTGTTATGATTTTCAATAGCAAAACCACAATTACTTTTGCACCAACCTGACATAATTGATGAATGAAGGTAAGATTTTACCTAACAATGCTCAGTGTTGCAGAAATGGGTAGCATGCATACATTTCAAGCAATAACATTTAATGGATATTTTTAAAGAGTGAGTCCAATGACTCAGTAATGCTTACCGGTGGTTATTCTACCTCTTGTCGTTGCACTTCCACCTAGGGAAGCTGTGGCCCCTGAGAGACAGAAAAACAGGGAAGTCATATTAGGAAATATTCAAGGACCATGATGCAACTTCTTGAAAGAACAGCAGCAGAGGAGACATCGAACATCGAAATATGGGAGGAGCTCTGAAGGTTCCCTGGCAACCTGCAGACTCACCCGTGTTGGAACTGCCAGGGGCAAGAGTTGTGCCAGGAGCTGCCCTGGTGGTGGCTGAAACACAAGGAAGAGTGTGATCACCATGATGATCAACATTTCCCTTTCCTGTAGGCCTGCCTCTAAAAACTATCTAGGCCTATCTGAATTATTTATAAATGGTACTTTCACCAATTCTTCCTGAGGTGGTACCCTGTATAATTATCGTTATCCATTTTACTAGCAAAACAATCAGAAGGTCGAGTTCCTCAACCTAAGGCAATATTTCTGGTCTTCCATGAGGAGACAGGTGGTGGTCCCCATGTTTACCATTTTACTTCCCAGAATATGGAAGACAAAAATAATTTTCCTGGGACTCTTACACATCAAGAATATACTAAACATTTCTCTTGCTTCTAAGTCATCAAACCACTCTTTAGGAACGTTTCTAAGGTTCACTTAAGTTTTTTCTTCTTCCCTACAACAAAACTGTTCATAGTTCCTAGTAATACCCTGGCAACGTTTCTACGTAACCTCACAGGAGGAAGTTCTCAGAACAAATGCAATAGATATCCCAGTATAAAAGAGGCTATTGGCAAAGTTTTAGAAACTATAAAATCTAAAGGAAGTTCTACTGGGCCTAAGATTCATTATCCCTAAATAAATGCATAATATTCTGCAGAAAAGTCACTCCCAAACAAGTCATCCTAATGAGTCAAGATTCATAGTAACATGCGAATTTTGGGCTGCTCATCCTCATCTGCTCTGGATTCAGTTCCTGTACTGCCCCTGCCTCCTGTGAAAGTTGTGGCCTCTGAGAAAAGAAAGAATAGGATCAAGGGGTCTGGGAGATACTGGTAAAAAGCATTGAGTCACTCTTTCATGACTGCAGCTCTACAAAGTCATCATGCATTCAAGATGCAGATTTCCTTCCCATTCAACTACCTGTGTGGGAACCTCCAGATGTAAATGTTGTCCCTGGGAATTCACCAGAGGTACCTAAAATGAGAAGGTAAAGGAGCTAATAGGACAAACAACACTGGAAACAGCAATGCTGTCTTGATCCACTGGAAGACCTTTCCTCAGATTCTCTGTTTCAGAGGGAAATGAACCATGATGGTTTTCCCTCCAATGCATTGACTATTGTTTTGCTACTGGCTATTTTTTCCATCACAGCCTATTTAGAAAGAAGAAAGTTTAATTGCACTTTACAGATTTCATGTCCAGTGACTTGGCTCTCTGGTGATCTAGGAGCAAGAAAAAGTCTTGAACATTCTAAGTGTTTTCCTTTATGGAACAGGTAATCCTGTGATTATCATGTTTTTAAGAATAAACACATAGATGTTTATAGCTTCCTTTAGTGTCTTTATGTAGCCTATGCCAACTGGCATGCAATCCTGAGAGCTGCTGCTGACACCAAGGGCAACTGTGTTGGTACCAATTGAAGTAACCAGAGTGACATTCTACATAAGAATATGCCTGTCATTCACCTCATATTCTAGAAGAATTTTCACTGTGTCTGACAGTGAGAAGAGGAAAGTCTCTGCCTCATGTGCTTTACATTTGTGGAAGAGGGAACACAGGAAATAAACAAGAAGTATAACAAATATGTTTGAGAGATGGCAGCAGGTGATAGTGCTTTGTGGAATCATGATGAGCAGAGCGGGGACAATCAGGGTTCCAAGAAGACTGCTGCAGGTCAGTGGGCCTCAGCCAGGTGTCCAGAGAACTAACACTGTCACACAGGTCATGGAGCAATGCCTGACATACATAAGCCAGTGAATCAAATTCTTTAGCAGGTCTACTCAGGATGGTCAGAATACATGTTGTGCTTCCAGGCAAGAAGTAACCCCCTTTCCTTGGCCCCCATTCTCATTCATGTGTTCACCTTAGCACAACAGGGAAATGAGGAGAACCCTGAGATCTGGGACTGACGAAGCTTACCTCCTGGAGCTTCTGATCCGGTGGCCCTGACCCCTCCTGTGGAACTTGTGGCCTCTGAGAGAAAAGAAAGCAAGAATGAAGTCTGCAGTATGGGGAGTACAGAGTTATGTAACCCTAGGAGCCTGTCACCCGAGCAGGCATTGTGTAGCATTCCCTGTGTGCTTGTGGACTTGCCTGTGTTGTCATTCCCAGGTTCCAGAGTCTTTCCAGAGAATGCCCCAGTGGTAGCTACTAAGAAAGAGAAGAGTAGTTACGAGTCAGTACCTCATTACCATGAAGTGGGCAGACAGTATCAGCAAATAAAGAGACACAGTTTGCATACTTATTTATTATTTCAGTAAACTGGGATTTTTTTTTTTTTTTTTTTTGAGACAGAGTCTCACTCTTACCTAGACTAGAGCACAATGGCACAATCTCAGCTCACTGCAACCTCCACCTCCTGGGCTCAAGCGATCCTCCAGCCTTAGCCTCCCGAGTAGCTGGGACTACAAGCACATGCCACCATGCCCAGCTAATTTTTGTATTATTATTATGATGATTATTATTATTTGTAGAGACAGGGTTTCACCATATCACCCAGGCTGGTCTCAATCTCCTTGGCTTAAGTGATCCTCCCACCTTGGTCTCTCAAAGTTCTGGGATTACAGGCATGAGTCACCATGCCCGGCTATAAACTGGGCTTTTTATGTCTAATAGTAATCTGCATATTCTTCATAAAATATACATGTGACAAAATATTTACCAAGTAATTTTTTACTTATTGGGCTTTCTTTCTTCTAGAGTTCAGGACTAGAGAGGTAGAAGCTAACTCTATCTCACAGCTTCTGTTCAAAGCTGTTCAAAGCAGAGGAAATAAGAACAAAATCTGAGAATCTGAAACCTCAGTCAATGAATAATGGTAAGATTATCTTTAATAATCCTCAGTATTGGAGAAATGATTAGCATGGATACATTTCAGTCTGTAATCCTTTGGGGGTATTAATGGCAGGTGAATGCAATGCTCACCTGTGGCTAATCCACTTCTTGTGGTCCCACTTCCTCTAATGTATGTTGTGGTCTCTGAGAGAGAGAAAAACAGAGAGGACATATTTGGAAAATATTGAAAGGCCATGAAACAGATATATTATTCATGGATAGAATTGCACCAAATGAGGCATCTAACTCTGTAAAGATCCTTGAAGAATTTCCTGACAACCTGTAGATTCACTTGTATTGGAACTGCCAGGGGCAAGAATTGTGCCAGAAGTTATCCCAGTGGTGGATGAAACATCAAGAGGACTGTGGTCATTATGGTGAAAGAATCTAAGCATATCATCATTATATCCAAAAAACTCTTTTTCTGGTTCTTCCCTGATGATAGGCCAGATGTATTTTCTCATTAACAAATTTATTATCAAACTAGTAAGAGTGATCAATTTCTCAACATGTGGCAATAGTCTTGGAATTCCATGAGAGGAAGACAGGTGGTTTCCTCCCATATTCATTGGCTTTACTTTAAAAAAATTAAGCTTAATGAGAATTTTAGACATTCATAAAATAATTATTATTTGTATTGCTTTGGGTCATAGAAACCTTTACCAGGCATGATTTCAAGGTTCGTTTACCTTGTCTCTACTTCCCAAGAACAAAACTGTTTTAAGCTCATACTAAAACCCTGGAAGTGTTTATAACCTTATAGGAGAAATTTCTCAAAACAAATTCAAGAGGCATCACATTCAAAAGACACTATTGGTAATTTGTGTGTATTTAAAAAAAGAAAAAAACATTAAATGCAAAAAAAAGTTCTTCAGGCTTAGATTCATTTTCCCTAAAAAAAAAAAAATGCACAATGTTCTGCAGGAAAGTTCACTTCTAAACAAGTCATAATAATAAAAGTCGTAATTCAAATAACTCCCAAATCACGGCCTGCTCCTCACCTGCTATGGATTCAGTTCCAATACTGCCCCTGCTTCCTGTCACAGCTGTGGTCTCTGCGGGAAAAAGAGAATCAAGAAGTGTAAGGAATTGAAGATACAAGGAAAAAGTTATTTTATGATTGCAGCTCTAAAAAGTTATCATACATTCAACATAAAGGATTCCTCTTGTTGAACTACCTGTGGTGGGAATCTTCAGATGTAAATGTTGTTTCCCTGGGAAATTCACCAAGAAGTATCCTTAAATATGGAGAAGAGTAAACGGTCTAAGAGCAAGAATAGTAAAAGAAGGTTATATGATTCCCTAACCACTACGGAGGCTTTCGTCCTAAAGAAATGGTTCTTGGAAGGAAAGGAACCCGTGAATGACTAAGCCCTTATTTCTTGCCCCTCACTGAACAATTTTGCTTCTTCTGGGTTCCCTTTCCATACATCCCAGAGAATGTGAAGGAGCTTTATCATCCCTCACCTGTTGACTTCCAGAACTGGGCTCCCTGATGTGCCATGATGTAATTAAGAAGAAAAAAGCAGACTACTTCTATCTTTATAAACTATTTTCATCAATACTTGAGGTATTTGATATTCACATGTTTTAAAAAGAACATTGCTCTAACTCTAATTTGCCATGGATGTACTGTTATTCAATCTATTCTACTGGCTTGGATTCTGACTTCCGGTGAAACTATACATTGTACCGAATTAAATAGATAGAACTACTCAAAATAATTTATTTCATCATTCACTAATATTATTAAGCTCTCCTTCTGTGCCAATATTGTTTAGGAGCCATTGGATGTATCAGTCAGCAAAATGTTCAAAGATCTTTCTCCTAATGCACCTTACATTCTAGCAGCTGGAGGCCAGTAATGAACAAGAAATATAATAAATAAGTCAGTGTGAAAGATGTTAGTAAACACTTTGGGAAAAAGGCAAATTGTATAAAAGGCAAATTGTATGCCCTGATTGGTGGGGGCTATCCAGCAGCTTGCCTTATTCCTGCTACATAATAACTAGCTTTGCAAGCCTGGGCTGCTAGAAATCCAGAGGGATAAGCCAGATGAGTGCAGGGAATTCCTAGGCACAACCAGCTTTGTGACTCTGGCATGCTGTGTTCCCAGAGGAAATGTGGGCCCCTTTCCTCAGCCCACCTTCACATCAATGTCTTCACTGCAGAGAACAGGGATTTGATAAAAGCACTAAGGCCTCAGAGTAAAAAACTCACCTCCTGGATGTTCTGCTTGGCTGGTGTCACCCCCTACCATGGAAGTTGTGGCCCCTGAGAGAGAGAGAAAAGAAAGGAAGGAGTGAAGACTAGTTTTTGAGAGAGTACACACGGCGCTGTGGGCAGAGTATGTCAACAAAGGTGCCCATGTCCAGATTTTGCATGTATTTTCAGACTTGCCTGTCTTGTAACTTCCAGGTTTCAGTGTTTTTCCAGAGACTACAACAGTAATACCTACAACGAGAAAGAGATGGTGTCACTAGCTGAACTCTATTTCCACTTGGTTTCTATAGGAATCTCAAATCCCCACTTAGAAGCAAACTATTACTCTGAACTCACAGTGCTAGAAGAAATTCATATTTGTCCCACGCAACATTTCTTTCCACAGCAATTTTACTGAGACAGTTATCAACTATCATGTCCTTCTCTTTGGGGGAAAGATAAGAATTTTCTCCCCATATTACTTATTTATCTGTCATTGGTTTGACATCATGATGGTTTAGTGAAGGACTTTGTAAGCTCAGGAAATAAGGAGACTGTCTAGTCTTTTTTATGAATTTTCTCAATATAGCATAGACAAATCATGCAGATATTTTCAGAAGACTATTGAAGGTGTCATTAGGAATTACAGGTCTTAGTCTAGCAGCACTCACCTGTGGCTCTTCCAACGCTTGTTGTTCCACTTACTCCTAGGAAAGTGGTGGCCTCTAAGGGAGACAAAGGGATAAGAGTTACCTGGAGTATATTTAAGGATTGTGGAGAAGATATGGTGCTACTCCTGCAAAAAATAATACAAAGGAGATATCTAATTATGCGAGGGCACGTGGAAGATTCCATGTCAACCTGTTGACTTACCTGTCTTGGAACGGCCAGGGGCAACAGTTGTGGCAGGAACTACCCCAGTGGTGGCTGAAACACAAGGGGAAGTGGCATCACCACAGTGACTCCTGTTTGTCTCCTGAAGACCTGCCTCTAGAAGGAATCTGTTTACATCTTTAAGATGTCAAAGGTCACTTTCTCTGGCTGCCACTCTGATGTATTTTCCCATTCATTAATAAACTACCAATGCAGTCAAAGGGGCAAAATTTGGAGATTACACCTGACATTCCATAACAGCAAAACAGGTTTCTCTCATATTTACCCATTACACTGCCAGAGCTAGAAGACAAAAAATTCTTTATTTCATGATAATTTAATCTATTTTTACTTTTCTTTCTAATTTTTATATAAGTATACATATTTCTGGGGGTTGTATGGGAGGTTTTGAAATATGTATATATTATGTAATAATCAAGTCATGATATTTAGCTTATCCATCATCTCACTTATCATTGCTTTGTGGGCAGAACATTCAGAACCTTCTTGTCAAGGATATTTGAATGTACACCACAATATTGTTGACCATAGGCACCTCACTGCTACAAAACACCAGAACTAATTACTCCTAATTGCTCCCCATTGACCTAATACTATAATTATGTCTCTTGCTTTGGAGGCAAGGAAACATCTATACAGGCATGTTTTTAAAGTTCATTTGTGTTATCTCTACTTCCTGGAATCAAAACTGTTTTCTAACCTCTACTATTACACTGGAAATATTTATACATTATATTATGTGGAAATTTCTCAAAACAATTACATCCCATTTACACCTCATCTAGAAGAGTCAACCCATTCAAAAAGAGGATTTTAGGATATTTATAGGGAAATATTAAATTAAAAAATATATTTGGCCCCAGTTACATTGTCTGTAAATCCATATTTCATATTCTGTAGGAAAGCCTACTTCTAAGCAAGTCAGCCTCATGAGAGGCATGATTCATGGTAACTCCCAAATTGTGGGCTGCTCTTCCTCACCTGTTCTGAATTCACTTTCAGTGTTGCCCCTGCTACCTGCGAGAGTTGTGGCCTCTGAGGAAAGAAAGAGGAAAATCATGAGGTCTGGGGAATTTGAGATATGAGTAAAAAACATTGAGGCGCTATTTTATGACTGCAGCTCTACAAAGTTATCATGCACGCAAAATGAAGATTTCCTTCTCATTGAACTACCTGTGTGGGAACCTCCAGATGAAATGGTTGTCCCAGAGAATTTACCAGAGGTACCTAAAATGAGAATATAAAGAGCTAACAGAGCAAGCAGTACTGGAATCAGCACTGTGGTCTTGAACCATTGGAAAATTTTCTTGAAAACTTCTATTTTAGAAAAAATATACACCATAATTTTTTGTGAACTTATTGTTTAATGTTCTCGCACTGACTATTCCTTCCACTGCACCCTAAAAAAAAAAAGAAGGAAGCTTAATTTCACTTTACTGATTCCACTTCCAGTGATGTGGCTCCCTGCAATTCTAGCGGGAAAAAGAAGGAAACATTTTGATATTTCCAATGTTCTTATTTGTATAACTGGTGATAGTGTGATAATCAGGTATTTAAGAATACACTTATGTCGGTATTTTTGCATTTCCATGGTGTTTTAAGTAGCCTCCTTGACTTCTTTCAGACCCAATAAACTGCTGCTGACACCAAGTGAAACTGTGAAGTAAACAGTGACTCTCTACATGAGAATATGCCTGTCACTCATCTCATATTTTGTAAGCATTTCCTCTGTGCCTGACATCATCCTCTCAGTGAAGAGAACAGACAAAGTATCTGCCTTGTGAGATTTGTGTCTGTGAGAGAGGAAATAGAAAATATGCAAGAAGTGTAATAAACATGTTAGAGAGATGGCAACAGGTGATAGTGCTTTGTGGAATCATGATGGCCTGAGTGGGAAGAATCAGGGTTCTGTGGAGGCTGCTGCAGGTCAGTGGGTCTCAGCTAGGTGTCCAGAGAACTAACACTGTCACACAGGCCGTGAAGCAATGCCTAACTTAGATGACCAAGTGGCAGGAATTCCTTAGCAGGACTACTCAGGATAGTCAGAATATATGTTGTGCTTCTAGACAAGAAGTAACCCCCTTTCCTTAGCCCCCATTCTCATTTATGTGTTCACCTCAGCACAACAGGGCAATGAGGAGAACCCTGAGGTTTGGGACTGGCGAACCTTACCTCCTGGAGCTTCTGTTCCAGTGGCTCTGACCCCTCCTGTGGAACTTGTGGCCTCTGAGAGAAAAGAAAGCAAGCATGAAGTCTGCAGTATGGGGAATACAGGGTTACATTACCCTAGTACCCTAGGAGGTTATGTTACACCTGTGCAGCCACGGTGTAGCATTCCTTGTGTGCTTTTTGACTTGCCTGTGTTACCATTCCCAGGTTCCAGAGTCTTTCCAGAGAATGCCCAATTGGTAGCTATTAAGAAAGGGGTGGGGCAATGGGGGGTCATTACCTCATTACTATGACGTGAGAAAAGAGTATTAGGCAAATAAATGGACACAGGTTGTATACTTATTCATTATTTCAATAAACTGGCCTTTAAATGCCAAAAACTAATCTCTACACTTCTCAGATAATATTCTTCCCATGGTCTATTTACCCAATTTTTTTTTAACTTATTAGGCTTCCTTTTCTCAAGATTTCATGAATAGGGAGATAGAAGCTAACTCTAGATTTTCTATGTAACTGTCAGTCAAATGGCTGCATGATTACCTTGGGGGGCAATAGAAGAGTCTGTTCAAGCACAAGAAATAAGAATGAAATTTGAGATTCTGTATTTAGTCAGTGAAAAATGGTAGGAACTTTCCTAACAATGTTAATATGGGAGAAATAAGAGTCTGGATACTTTTCAAGCCACAGGCTTTATTGGATCTTATTAGCAAGTGAGTGCAATGAACCAGTAATGCTCACCTGTCGCTATTCCACCTCTTGTTTTTGCACTTTCTTGTAGGGAAGTTGTGGACTCTGAGAGACAGAAAAACAGAAAAGACATATTTGGAAAATATTCAAAGGTCATGAAACAGATAGGGAATTACTCTCATAAACAATAACACCAGAAGAGATATCTAATTATGAGAGGAGCTCTGAAGAGTTCCCTGTTAACCTGAAGAACCATTTAATTCTCAATGCAATCAGAGGGGCCAGTTCTTCAGCTTGAAGCAATATACATTCCATGAGAGGGAGAGACACAATTTTCCATACTCACCAATTTACTGCCAGGAATGAAACACAAAAAATTAAGTTTGCTGGCAATTTGAGATGTCAAGAAAGCACTAATAATTATATTGTTTTTAGGGCATGGAAACCTCTATTTACAAGTATTTCTAGGATTCATTTACATTATCTCTCCTTCCCTGGATCACAAATGTTTTTTACTCCTACTAATATCCTGGCCATACTTACATACAACATTACAGGAGAAATTTCTCAGAACAATTACAAGAGACATTTCACTTCTAATAGGATATTGGTAAATTTTTGGGAAAATATTTAATTTAAAGGCAGAACTATTTGTGCTAAGATGCATTGTCCAGAAATAAATGCAAAATATTCTGTAGGAAAGCCCACTTCCAAACAAGTCATGCTTATGAGAGTCATGATTCACGGTAAATCCCAAATCATGAGCTGCTCCGCCTCACCTGCTCTGGATTCAGTTCCAGTACTGCCCCTACCTCCTGTGAGAGTTGTGGCTTCTGAGAAAAGAAGAAAATAAAGAGGTCTGGGGAATCTGAGATACTGTGGAAAACTATCACAGTGCTAGTTTTTTATTGCAGCTCTGCAAAGTTATCATGCATTCCAGATGAGGAACTCATTCCCATTCAACTACCTGTGTGGAAGCCTCCAGATGAAATGGTTGTCCCAGAGAATTCTCCAGAAGTACCTAAAAAGAGAAAAATAAAGGAGCTAATAGGACAAATAATACTGGAATCATCAGTGGGTTCCTGAACCACTAGAAGACCTTTCCTAAGAGCTCTAGTTTCCAAAGGAAATTAACAATGAATAATTTTTCCCCAACTATTGACAGATGATTTGCTACGGATTATCCTTTCCCCTGCAGCTTATTCAAAAATAGTAATAGCTTAAATTCAATTTAAAAAAGAAGGATACTTAAATTCACTTTACTAACTTCACTTTCAGTGATGTAGTTTCCTGGTGTTCCTGGAGGAGGAAAAATGTCTTGAACATTCTAAATGTTCTTGTTTGTGTAATTGACAATATTGTGATAATCGGATGTATAATAATATACTTCCATGAGATATTTATACCTCCCGCTGGTGATTTTAAGTAGTTCATCTTACCTGGCTTGGGACCCTGTGAACTGCTGCTGGCAACAGGTGAAACCGTGGTCGTAGCTGTTGAAGTAAACAGAGTGACACTCAAAATAAGCATATACTTGTCACTCATCTTATATGCTGTAAGCAATCCTTTGTACCTGACATTCTCTTCTCAGTGAAAAGAACAGACAATGGTCTCTGCCTTGTGAGATTTCCATTTGTGGGAGAGGGAACACAGAAAATAAACAAGTATAATAAATATGTTCAATAGATGTCAGCAGGTGATAGTACTTTGGAATCATGAGGGGCAGAATGAAAGAATTGGGGGTTCTGAGGAGGCTGCTGCAGGTCAGTGGGCCTCAGCCAGGTGTCCAGAGTACTAAAATTGTCACACAGGAAATGGAGCAATGCCTGATTTAGATAACTCAGTGATAAGGTTTGACTCTCAGTCCCCACTCAAATCTCAGGTTGAATTATAATCCCCAGTGTTGGGGGAAGGAACCTGGTTGGAGCTGATTGGATCATAGAGGCTGGATTTCCCCCTTGCTGTTCTTGTGATAGTGAGTTCTCACGAGAACTGCTTCTTTAAAAGTGTGTAGCACTTTCTCTTTCACTCTCTCTCTCCTGTCACCAAGTGAAGATGTACTTGCTACCCCTTCGCCTTCCACCATGATTGTAAGTTTCCTGATGCCTCCCCAGCCACGCCTCCATACAGCCTGGAGAACTGTCCATCATTAAACCTGTTTTCTTTATAAACTACCCAGTCTCAGGTAGTTCCTTAAAGCACTGTGAGAATAAACTAATACAACCAGTTTCTGAAATTCTTTAGCAGAACAACTCAGAAGATCAGAATACATGTTGTGCTTCCAGTTAAGAAGTAATTGTCTTTCCTTGGCCCTCATTCTCATTTATGTGTTCACCTCAGCACTCCACAACAGGGCAAGGATGAGAATTCTGAAGCCTGGGACTGATGAAGCTTACCTCCTGGAGCTTCTGATCCAGTGGTCCTGACCCCTCTTGAGGAACCTGTGGCTTCTGAGAGAAAATAAAGCACCAATAAAGACTGCAGTATGAAGGCATACAGGGTTATGTAGCCCTAGGAGCCTGTCGTCTGAGCAGCCACGGTGTAGCAGCCCAGTATGCTTTTGGACTATCCTGTGTTGTCATTCCCAAGTTCCAGAGTCTTTCTAGAGAAGCCACCATGGTATTAAGAAAATGGGTAATGGGCAACAAGCAAATAGATTGATAAAATCTATATTCTTATTCAATATGTCAGTAAACTGTGTTTTGAATGCTAAAAGGACATCTGTGTATTTCTCATATAATATCCTTCCCACAGTATATCTACCAAAGACATTTTTACTTATCGAGTCTCTTTTTTTTCTAGAGTTCTGAAACAGGGAGATGGGGGCTATCTCTAGATCACCTATGTAACTGTCAATCAAATGACTGATGACTGCCTTGGGTGTGGAAAGAGAATCTGCTTACAGCACAGGAAATAAGAATGAAATTTGAGTTTCCGATCTTTCATCAATGAACAATGGTAATTTCTTGATCAGTACTCAATATGGGAGAATCCAGTCACATGGATTCATTTTGCACCACAGTCTTTATTGAATATTACTGGCAAATGAATGCAATGACCCAGCAATGCTCACCTGTGGCTATTCCACCTCTTGTTGATGTACTTCCTCCTATGGAAGTTGTGACTTCTGAGAGACAGAAAAACAGAAAAGACATATTTGAAAAATATTCAATCACTATGAAATGAATAAGATATTACTCTTAAAAAGACAAGCACCAGAGAAGACATCAAATTATGGGAGGAGCTCTGAAGAGTTCCCTGCCAACCTGCAGACTCACCTGTCCTGGAACTGCCAGGGGCAAGGGTTGTGCCAGGAGCCACCCCAGTCGTAGATGAAACACCAAGAGGACTGGGATCACCATGGTGATTAATCTTTCTTTCCTACAGACCTGCCTCTAGAAAGAATCTAAACCTAACTTATATCTAACTAGCACTTTCCCTAGCTCTTCCCTGGTGATGAGCCCTGTGTATTTTCTTACTAACCATTTTATTACCAAAGCAACCAAAGTGACAATGTTCTCAACCTGTGATAATCTTCCTAGTATTCTCGGTCAGGAGGACAATGTGGGTTTCTCCTATGCTCCCCTGTTCTCCTCCCTGTGTCTTGGCTGTCAGATGCAAGAGTGGTGCCTGCTGTGGGGTGGTTGCTGAGAATGCCATGAGTGTGCTGAGAACTCCAGACGTTGTGAAAATATTTAGCTCTTCATTTGTGAAAAGGAAGCACTAACACAGGGCAGGTGTGTTTCCTGGATTCTTGTAGCTCCTCTGTGTTTCTCAGCAAGTTTTATCACCCCCTCCTCTTCTAAAAGCTTCTAATGTTTGTAATCTCACAGCAGAAGTTACTCAGAACAATCAGTATAATTGTCCTACCTTCCAGGATTAGAAGTATGATTCTGCACTCTGTAATTAGTAGCTTTTCTGGAAAAATGTCTAAACTTATAAAGAATTTGTTGGCCAAAAATGTAGTATATTAGTAAAGTAAATACAAACTGCTCTCCAGAATCCTCCTCTCTCTAGTCTCACTATGAGTGTCAAAATCAGTGATAACAAGAAAGACATGAGTTGCTCCTTCTCACCTATTGTGAATGAAGCTTCAGTGGTGCCAACGTGTTCTGCGGAAATTGTGGCCTCTGACACATGATTTGGAATTGTAAATTCTGGGGAGTTGCGATAGTGGGAAGAGAGATTTTGTGTTATTCATCAGAACAACCTACAAAAAACATCATTTCATCTGCGCATCCATAGAGATGGTTTTCTTTCAACTTTACCTGTGTTGGAAATTCCTGTTTCAACAGATGTCTCAGAGCCTACTCCAGTGATACCTAAAACAAGAAAAGCAAATTTAGCAAATTCATCATGGAAGCAACTTAAAAGGGCATTTCTCAGGAGTTAATGTTATAAACGGTGCAAATGCTAAATTAAGAGTATCCTTCTCTCATTTCATCTCCTTGGCCCATTTATTCGCAGGCGACTTGCCAGTGAACACCCCTACATTCTAGTCTGCTGACAGAGGGATGGGGGCTCATTTCATGCATGCCTGTTTCACTTCCTGTTATGTCTTCCTGGTGTACCAGGGATGACTACAGAGGGAGGAAAATGAAAGATAAAGTTCTTTATAAATATCTCTGTGATACTTTTGTGGTTGATTTCATGTCATCCCTAAAGCATACCCATGCATACACATACGCATGCACAAAACTCATAAACGAGTAAGAGCCAGCCTACGTTTTCTTTATGGAATTTTACCTGTGTTGGAAACTTCTGAACTGGTACTGACTTCAGAAGAAATGACAGGGGTGCCTGTGGAAAAAAAAAAAAAAAATTGTGTGAACTTTAAAGCAATGATGGTCTCATTCCTGATTTTGGAGAACTAGTTCTGAAAGCCAGGACTCAGGCACACTTGTCGGAGGGTCATGAAAATGTCAGTTCCAGAGGGATTCACAATTTGACTTAGCCTTGCGTAAAATGTGTCCTCAACCTTCGTATTCTTCTGTTTTAAGCTGCAATCCCAAACAATGAATCAACAGAACCCAAAGTCTTGGAATGAGAACACTCACCTCCTGACTGTCCTGCTTCAGGAGTCCCTGTAGCAGTTGTAGCCTCTGAGAAAGAAAAGAAAGGAATGAAGTAAGAACATGCTGGATGGTTGGGTCTCGTGGATCACATCTATAATTCCACACTTTGGGAGGCCGAGGCTGGCAGATCACTTGAGTCCAGGAGTTCGAGACAGACTGGGCAACATAGTGAAACCCTGTCTCTACAAAAAAGAGCCTGTAGTCCCAGCTACCTGGGAGGCTGAGGTGGCAGGATCACCAGAGCCTAAGATAAGAGGTCAAGGCTGAAGTGAGCCAAGATCATGCCCCTGTACTCCAGCCTAGGGAGCAGAGTGAGACCCTATCTCAAAGGAAGGAACCAAAGAAGAAACAAGAAAGACAATGAAAGAAAGAAAGAAGAAGAAGAAAGAAAGAAAGCAAAGAAGGAAAGAAAGAAAGAAAGAAAGAAAGAGAGAGAGAGGAAGGAAGAAAGGAAGGAAGGAAGGAAGGAAGAAAGAAAGAAGAAAGAAAAGAAAGAAATAAAGAAAGAAAGAAAGAAAGAAAGAAAGAAAGAAAGAAAGAAAGAAAGAAAGAAAGAAAGGAAGGAAGGAAGGAAGGAAGGAAGGAAGGAAGAGAAAAGAGGAAAGGAAAGGAAAGGAAGGGAAGGGGAAGGGGAAGGGGAAGGAAAGGAAAGGAAATGCATGCTGGGTCAACTGTATTACCTAAATGGCTCCCTCCAGGATGTCCTGGTATGTGGTGACTTACCTGAGACATAAGTTCCAGGCTTGAGGGTTTTCCCAGAAATACTACCAAAAGTTCCTGAAATAAAGAAATGGTGGTCCACATGCCATGACTAGGGCATTGCTTTTTCAAAAATGAGTATTTCTTACAATATATTAGGATGCGCTTTCTTTGAGCTTTCCAATGGCAAAAATTTATCTGTGTTTCCAATGTAGCATCTCTTTCGTATAGCAAATTTTCTGACAACATTTTAGATGCTTTAGTGTCTTTGAGATTCAGTGCTTGGAAATGGAAGTTTTCTCAGTACATGTATATCCAGTGGCCAGGGACTTGACTTCTTAGGGCATGGAATGAGCTCCTTGAGGTAGAAGGAAGTCAGGCTCCTCAAGCTTGACATTTATTACCTAGTAACTGTTTTGCATTTTTAAAAGGTTTAGTTTATGGAATAAAGTAGTGTGGCTACATTTTAGACAACACTGCTTAATGAAAGATGATCAAAAATGCAGTAATGGCTTAGCAGGCTGAGCTGGAGCTATTCCACCTGCAGAGATTCTACTTCCTCCTAGGAACTTGTGGCCTCTGACGATGAGGAAAAGAACAAAGACACAATTGGGAAGACATTAAGGATTTGGGATTATTATAGTGATAATTTTGCCTAGAAATAAAACCTGAGGAGATAGCTCCTTGAAAGAAGTTCCAGTGGGAAAATTCCACTTAGCTTGTTCTCACCTGTGTTAGAACTTCTAGGGGCAAGAGTTGTGCCAGTGGTTACCCCAGTGGTACCTGAAACACAAAAAGTCCAGAGGTCACTGACTCATTCTGCCATGAGAACATCTGAATCTAGATGCCATCTGTGTGTTCTTTGCTATAACAAGTAGCCTTTTCTGGATATTTAAAAAATCTATAATTCTACGAGTTTTTCTGCTTGAACTATTCCATTTGTAAATCACAGGGAGTGGCAACGTTCTCTACTTGAGACGTCCTTTCCTGGCCTTCCCTGACAAAGATGAAAGATTATCTTCTCTTGTGTTCACCTAGTTTGATCTCAGTATGCCTTAGCTCTCTGCTACAAAAGACAGTTTATACTGAGTACCTGAGACAACGAGAAACTGCTGAGCATTACTCCTTAATGGGGTCAAAGAAGGCTTTCTGGAAAAGACAGCATCTAGATCTTTACTATTGCTTAGGATTTGTCTATGTGAAGTCCAGGAAGGGAACATCAGGCAGAAGACATAGTGAGAGCCAAGGTTTAGGGAAACATAGCAATATGTGTTGTATAAACATAGAATGAGTGAAAAATAACTGGAAATTTAGCTCAAATTCAGTGAGAAAACAACTTCCTAGTGATCAGTTTGTAACATTTTATAAAGGAACTTCTAACAGTGCCACCAACTAATTCAAGTGAGGCTAAAAGTTGTTATGTAAAGGGGGCTAATGAGAACTTTGGAAAGTAGATGGGGTCTCCAAAAGCTCTAATATTACACTAAAGCACTTAGAATTTACTTGAAGGGAAATGGGTAGCTGCTACCATGGATTGATGACAGAAATGGTATGAACAGAGATAACAGTCAATAGAGGACCACTGACTGCTGTTTCAGATAGAACATATCTGAGAATAGAGAAAACTAGAAGAGAGGAAACTTGCCTACAATAGTCTAGACTAAAGGAAATGTAGAGGAGTAGAAAGAGCTCAGGTGTTGGAATCAAAAGAGTTGTGTGGTTTTAAACAGGTTAAAAATCTCTGAACCTCAGTTTCCTTACCAGCAAATTAGGGAAAATAATGCCTACATTATCCAAATGAGATAGTGAATGAAAGCTAAACATATTTCAGCTGTATTGAGTGTTCGTTATATGCAAAGCTCCCCAGGTAAGACATTAATGATACATAAGACTTGGTCCCCTTTCAACAAAGGTAGAATCTAGTGGATCAGGGAGACAAGTATTGAAATCAATCACCTCATCAGATAAGGGCCATAAAGAGGTTTTAAATCAGTGAAAAATAAGACAAAAATGCCTGTTTTCATGGAACTTATATTCCAATGTAAGTGCTAAAAGGATCAGAAGGAGAATTTTTTTTTTTTTCAAAGTGAGATATTCTAAAGAATCAGCTTCTAGGCCATCTGTGGTGGCTTATGCCTGTCATCCCTGCACTCTGGGAGGCCGAGTTGGGCAGATCACCTGAGGTCAGGAGTTTGAGGCCAGCCTGGCCAACATAGTGAAACCTCATCTCTACTTAAAAAATGCAAAATATTAGCCGGGCGTGGTAGTGCACACCTGTAATCCCAGCTACTCAGGATGCTGAGGCAAGAGAATCGCTTGAACCGAGGAGTTGGAGGTTGCAGTGAGCCAAGATCGTGCCACTGCACTCCAACCTGGGCGACAGAGCAAGTCCCTGTCTCCAAAAACGAAACAACAACAAAAAACCCAAAACAACAACAAAAAGTCGGCTACTTTTGCTTATCTTTTAAAACTGCTTTTAAGTTTAAAAAAGAGATACCAGGATACATTAAAAGCTAAATAGTTTTCTTGTAAATAGTAGGTGACTATTAATATGCTGAGAAATATGGTGCTACCTCTTTTTAATAGGGGAGATGTTTTGGGAGTTATTTTGGTTTGTCTGAGTTTGTATACTTGTATACAATCAGTGTAGAATTTAAGTATTATATAAAGGATTCAATACACCTTTATTATGATTTAAGAAGACATGAGAATAGAAAAATCAAAAGTCCTATGCTACAAAAATCAAATTTGAAGTTCATGTTTTATTAATCAGATAATAAAGACTTCTGGTACCATGTGTTCTATTCCATTAATGTAACACTATTTTTTCAAATGCACATTTATAATCTCATATTTTCTCACCTGCTACTTCAGGCTGTTTTGATGGCACTGAAATTTAAAAACAAATATATTTATAAATGTATATATTTGATTAATTTCCATTTACAAAGATTAATTTGTATGTTAGGTTATAATTTGAGAAGCATGTCACACACAATCCTTTAAATGTTTTTCAGTGCTCAAATGAAAAAAAAATAGAAATTATATTTCAAGCACATTGTACAGAAATAAATTTTCATGTCATTGAATATCAGCTTACCTACAATGAGTTGTGGTGGAATTCTAACTGAGCTTCCTAAGGGATAAATTAAATCCATATTTAAATTAAAGAATTTATTTGAATTTCATTTAAAAAATTTGCTTCAGTGGGTCAAATGCCTTGATAATTAAATTTTGTTTAAAAAACAGATGTTATTTCCCACAGAGGCTTATCTTAGAAATTTAAGTCAGATTAAGTGTTCTCTTGTGAGACATATTGTAAAGTGCTCTTCTAAAGAATCATGTATGATTTCTATGATTACAGATTATCAAACTGAAAAAAAAAACACTGCCTTTTTTCCAAGCAAAATATTTATACACAGGTAATTGTTATTTGGTTACATTTAATTAAAGCTGTCTTGAAATTATAAAATGCCAAAAATGATAAAATACATACTGTGCCTCAATAGTTACACACCGAGTCCCAATGGCTACCTGTTTGTGGCCATGTGTTAACTTATAATTATGTTGCTCAATATATAATATGAATCATGCCAATTTGTTTACATTTGCATAACCATAGATTGAATAAAGAATTAATGCAAATTTAGTTTGAATTAAATTATTGAATTATTTTCTAGCGATCAGTTGGTAAAATTAATTTACACAGGAGACTTTATAACAGTAGTTACAATAATGTGGCATAAATCTTCATCAGAAAAAAAAAAAAAAGGTAAGCATTCTATTCCTTAAACTATTAATGAGCAATGTAGTCATTAGAGTCTGGGTTCTGTTAGGGACTTGCACATTGAGAAATGACGTATTTCTCAAGTACTGTCATACTAAGTATATTACTAGTTGAGAACCTTAAACAATAATATACTGTAGCCTTGAAATAATAATTCTGTTAATTTACTCAGTGTTAGGAAAAAGAAATTGCCCTGTAAGTATTTGTGAATCATTTTTAAAAAAAGGAAAGTTATAAAATTTGGACTTATAAAACAATAATGTTATAGTTTTGTCAAAATTCTCCGAATCTTATTTCAGAATAGGAAGTGCCATAGTTTATTACATTAAAAAACTTATTTTTCTTACCTGCTGCTCCAATTCTTTTAGTTAGAAATGGGAAACATTTAAGCTTTGTGATTTTAAAAGCGAGCTTTATTGATGATTTTGTTTGTTTGTTTGTTTGTTTGTTTTGAGATGGAGTCTCGCTCTGTTGCCCAGGCTGGAGTGCAGTGACCTGATCTTGGGTCACTGCAACCTCCGCCTTCCGGGTTCAAGCGATTCTCCTGCCTCAGCCTCCTGAGTAGCTGGGACTACAGGCATGCGCAACCATGCCCTGCTAATTTTTATATTTTTAGTAGAGATGGTGTTTCACCATGTTGACCAGGATGGTCTCCATCTCTTGACCTCGTGATCCACCCGTCTCGGCCTCCCAAGGTGCTGGGATTACAGGCATGAGCCACCGCACCCAGCCTATTGAAGGGTAATTAAATATCACTGTATATTTTGCTTTAGCAAAGGAAGGCATCACATTGAAGAGCACAGTTTTGGAATCAATAAACAATCAAGAAAAATACTGATTTCACCATTTGGCGTGCTGTAGAAACCTATCAACTTAGGTAATATCTTTGCCTAAGTTCCTCATGAGCAAAATGAGATAATCATGTTCATTCAAGTAATTTATGAGATAATATATTTAAAGACATTGTAATTAACTGGCATTATTATTATTAATGATATTGCTGTTTTAAAATAAGCAATGAGCATGAAAAGAAATCAAAAACACATCTGACATCCCCCTGCTTACTTACCAGTAGTGGTACTTCCTGGTGCAATTGTTGACCCAGGGATGGCTCCCGTGGCAACTGAGATTAAAAAGCGTAAAGTCAGGAACAGTGTTCTTATTTTATTGAAGCACTATCCAGATATTTATCAACATAACTACTTTGAGCCCAGTTGTGGTTCCAGTACCTGATGTGGAAGCTATGCTTTCACCTTCAGCTCCTAGGGAAGTTGCAGCAGGCACTCCAGTTGTAGCTGAATTTAAAACAAATGAAAAAGAATCTTAGTAGAATAATTCAAAATTTTCATATGGACTTCTCCCTAACATCTCAAATTCAACTTTCAAACATGAACCTATGATCTTCCCACCACAAACTGCTGCTCCTTCACAGTCCCTATTTTAATAATTGATAGAAACACCATCCCAGCAACTAAATATTAACCTGAAAAATACCCTTAACAAAGTCCCCATCAAACCACTGCCAAATCCCCTTGATGGTTCTCCAAAAATAGGTTTTGAACTTTTCCCTTTTTTTCCATCCACCACCATAATTTATTTTAAACCATTGCCTCTTACCTTGATTGAGCAATAACTTCCTAACAAATTTCTCTGCTTCCGTTCTCGCCTTACACAATTCTTCACATTTGCAGTCTTACTGATCTTTTAAAAATGGGAATCCTGATCATGTCACTCTTCTGTCTCACACCTTCAGTTAACTTCCCTCAGCTCTTAGCAACAAGTCTACAATCCTTAACGTGTGTGGCAAGGCTCTGTTCTATGTGATCAGGGTCCTTCTGACTTCTCTGGGCTTATTTTGTACACCCTCTGGCTTCCTAACAGGGCACTGGGAACCCTGGCCTCTTTCCACCTTAAACTTTCTAAGAGCCTGTGATTTCCCCCATGGAGCTCTTCTTAGCATTTCCCTCCCTGTCTTATCCTCTTTGACTACTGCTTCTTCATTCTTTGGGACACCAGGTGGAAAGTCACTTTCCTGGCACCCTCACCTTATTCTTAGCACTTAATATTAATTTTAATACTATTGAGATACTTTTCTCTTACTGGCTAAATCCCCTACTAGACAGGATGTCCTGAGAGCAGTGACCCTGTCAGACTCATTCACTTCTGTGCCCACACACTTATCACAGTGCCTGACACACAGATGACAATAAAAATAATTAAACAACATTTAATTAAACAGTAAATGTGAGACACTGCTGTTATAATAGAAAATGTCCAAATACTTCTGGTATAGTAGACTTTTCATTAATCTGATTTTCTTTGGGAGGTTGGCATTTGGCATATCTGAGACTCCATCGAGATATCCCCTCCAGGGAATATATTTCCTTTCTGCTCTAGTTTATACCCACTGCCACACGAGGGAGGATGGTGTAGAAGGTAAGGAATAGGCTCTGAGGACAGACCTTCCTGGTGTACATTATCACTTACAGCAGCTAACTAAACTTCTCCTTGACTTCCTCATTTGAAAATGTGAACAAAAATAGCACTTATCTCAGTAGTTGCTGTGAAAATTAGTGACATGTTTACACATCTCCTAACAGTTCCTGGCTGCCCAAAAAGTGCTCAAATATTTTCTTGCTTTAAGCTTCTTCATGTAAGGTTTGTTTCCTGATAGAATCAGCACTGTAAAGACAGATAATTTGTTTTCCTTCCACCCTAGTCCTAAAACACCTAACAAAATTTAAGGTCCTAAATACTATTAGGTTGGTGCAAAAGTAATTATGGTTTTTGCCATTACTTTTGCACAAACCTAATAGATGATTTGGATCTGACTTTCTAATTTCCTTATTTACAATATACTCATTACCATAATTATATTGACCAGAAAACCTTATGTTCGGTTTGGGAGGCCAAGGCGGGCAGATCATTTGAGGTCAGGAGTTCGAGACCAGTTTGGCCAACACAGTGAAACTCTGTCTCTACTAAAACTAAAATAAAATAAAAATAAAAAAATAGCCAGGCACAGTGGTGCATGCTTGTAATCCCAGCTATTTGGGAGACTGACGCATGAGAATTGCTTGAACCTGGGAGGCGGAGATTGTAGTGAGCTGAGATCTTGTCACTGCACTCCAGCCTGGGTGAGAGTGAGACTCTGTCTTAAGAAAAAAAGAAAAAGAAAAAGAAAAAAAAAAAAGAAAACCTTACGTTGAGCTACAGTTGCGACCAAATTCTTCCAACCCCACTTGCCTGATTTTCCAGGTGTGGTTAATCTGGTCCTGCTTTCATCTGCTCCAGGGCTGGTTACATATGGTTCTTCAGTTTTGCCTGGTTAAAGCCCTACTTGATTATCAGCTTTACATGGTTCATCTTAGTAAATATAATGAACTTACTGCCCCTTATGTAAAATTCGAATTTAGACATTGATAAATCTAGGTCATCTCTTAATCATTTCTCCCCAATTTAGGTCATTGGTTAAATCATAATTGATTCATCTTACAATCATAATTGGAGGTCTTAGCCAGGCTTATGTTGAACCACACCAGAGTACCCAGGTGAGCCATGCTGGTGGGTTCCCAACTGTAGTGGCCCCAGAGTCTGCTGCTCCAGCTGTGCATCCCTTGCCAACACCTACAGTAGCCCTCATGAAAACATAAACCCAAAAAGTCTAATATTCTGGAAAGCCCCCTCATTGTTCACCAATTTGAGTTGTTAATAACATATTTAATTGTGATAAAGTTACACAGATTCAAGTCTGGAAGACCAAAAATTACGTTGTTCATATTAAATGACCTATCTTTAGCTAACTAGACTTGCCTTCAGGGACTGTAACCTCACTTCTTGGCTCTCCTGTTCTTCCTGTTACAGTGGTTGTGCCAACTGATAGTCCAGTTGTCCCTGTCACTTGACCTGATAGTCCATTTGTACCTGTTATTCCAGCGGATGGTCTAGTTATCCTTGATTCTTCAACTGATGTTCTGCTTGTTCCTGTTTTTCCAGCTGATGGTATACTTGTCCCAGATTTTGCAGATGATCCAGTTGTCCCTGTCACCTCAGCTAATGATCTGGTAGTCCCTGTTACCCCAGCTGATAGTCCAGTTGTCCCCGTCACTCCAGCTGATGGTCCAGTGGTCCCCGTCACTCCAGCTGATAGTCCAGTTGTCACCGTCACTCCAGCTGATGGTCCAGTTGTCCCCATCACTCCAGCTGATGGTCCAGTTGACCCTGTCACTTCAGCTGATAGTCCATTTGTACTTGTTATTCCAGCTGATGGTCTAGTTGTCCTTGATTCTTCAACTGATGTTCTGGTTGTTCCTGTTTTTCCAGCTGATGGTATACTTGTTCCAGATTTTGCAGATGATCCAGTTGTCCCTGTCACCCCAGCTAATGATCTGGTAGTCCCTGTCACCCCAACTGATAGTCCAGTTGTGCCCGTCACTCCAGCTGATGGTCCAGTGGTCCCCGTCACTCCAGCTGATAGTCCAGTTGTCCCTGTCACTCCAGCTGATAGTCCAGTTGTCCCTGTCACTCCAGCTGATGGTCCAGTTGACCCTGTCACTTCAGATGATAGTCCACTTGTACCTGTTATTCTAGCTGATGGTCTAGTTGTCCTTGATTCTTCAACTGATGTTCTGGTTGTTCCTGTTTTTCCAGCTGATGGTATACTTGTCCCAGATTTTGCAGATAATCCAGTTGTCCCTGTCACCCTGGCTGATGAACCAGTTGTCCCTGTCACCCCACCTGATAGTCCAGTTGTCCCTGTCACTTCAGCAAATGGTCCAGTGATCCCTGTCACTCCAGCCGATAGTCCAGTTTTCCCTGTTGCTTCAGCTGACGGCCCAGTTGTCCCTGTCACTCCAGCTGATAGCCCTGTTTTCCCTGTCACTCCAGCTGATAGTGCAGTTATTCCTGTCACTCCAACTGATGGTCCAGTTGTCCCTGTCACTCCAGCTGATAGTCCAGTTTTCCCTGTCACTCCAACTGATAGTCCAGTGGTCCCCATCACTCCAGCTGATAGTCCAGTTGTCCCCGTCACTCCAGCTGATGGTCCAGTTGTCCCTGTCACTCCAGCTGATGGTCCAGTTGTCCCTGTCACTCCAGCTGATACTGTAGTTGACCCTGTCATTCCAGCTGATACTGTAGTTGACCCTGTCACTCCAGCTGATGGTCCAGTTATCTCTGTCACCCCAGCCGATAGTCCAGTTATCTCTGTCACCACAGCTGATAGTCCACTTGTCCCTGTCAGTCCAGCTGATAATCCAGTTATCCCTGTCACTCCAGCTGATGATCCAGCTGTCCCTGTCACTTCAACAGATTGTCCAGTTGTCCCTGTCACTTCAGCTGACAGTCCAGTTGTCCCTGTCCCTCCAGCTGATAGTCTTGTTGTCCCTGCCACTCCAGTTGATGATCCAATTGTCCCTGTCACCCCAGTTGATAGACCAATTGTCTCTCTCACCCCAGCAGATAGTCCAGTTGTCCCTGTTACTCCGGCTGATACTGTAGTTGTCCCTGTCACTCCAGCTGATGGTCCAGTTATCCCTGTCACCCCAGTTGATAGTCCAGTTATCTCTGTTACCTCAGCTGATAGTCCAGTTATCCCTGTCACCACAGCTGATAGCCGAGTTGTCCCTGTCACTCCAGCTGGTGATCCAATTGTCCCTGTCACTCCAGCTGATGATCCAATTGTCCCTGTCACTCCAGCTGATGATCTAGTTGCCCCTGTCACTCCAACAGATTGTCCAGTTGTCCCTGTCACTTCAGCTGACTGTCCAGTTGTTCCTGTCACCCCAGCTGGTATTTCATTTGTCCCTGTCGCTTCAGCTGATAGTCCATTTGTACCTGTTATTCCAGCTGATGGTCCAGTTGTCGTTGATTCTTCAATTGATGTTCTAGTTGTTACTGTTTTTCCAGTTAATGGTATACTTGTCCCTAATCTTGCAGATGAAATAGTTGCCCCTGTCACTCCAGCTGGTGATCCAATTGTCCCTGTCACTCCAACTGATGATCTAGTTGCCCCTGTCACTCCAACAGATTGTCCAGTTGTCCCTGTCACTTCAGCTGACTGTCCAGTTGTTCCTGTGACCCCAGCTGGTAGTCCAGTTATCCCTGTCACCCCAGCTGTTAGTCCACTTGTCCCTGTCACTCCAGTTGATGATCTAGTTTTCCCTGTCACTCCAACAGATTGTCCAGTTGTCCCTGTCACTTCAGCTAATTGTTCAATTGTCCCTGTCATCCCAGCTGGTAGTCCAGTTATCCCTGTCACCCCAACTGATAGTCCATTTGTCCCTGTCACTCCAGTTGAAGATCTAGTTGTCCCTGTCACTCCAACAGATTGTCCAGTTGTCCCTGTCACTTCAGCTGACTGTTCAGTTGTCCCTGTCACCCCAGCTGATAGTCCAGTTATCCCTGTCACCCCAGCAGATAGTCCAGTTGTCCCTGTCACCCCAGCTGATGGTCCAGTTATCCCTGAAACTTCAGCTGATAGTCCAGTTGTCCCTGTCACCCCAGCTGATGGCCAGTTATCCCTGTCACTTCAGCTAATTGTTCAATTGTCCCTGTCATCCCATGGTCCAGTTATCCCTGAAACTTCAGCTGATAGTCCAGTTGTCCCTGTCACCCCAGCTGATGGTCCAGTTATCCCTGAAACTTCAGCTGATAGTTCAGTTGTCCCTGTTACTCCAGCTGATACTATAGTTATCCCTGTCACTCCAGCTGATGGTCCAGTTATCCCTGTCACCCCAGCTGAGAGTCCAGGTATCCCTGTCACCCCAGCTGATAGTCCAGTTGTCCCTGTCACCTCAGTTGATAGTCCAGTTATCCCTGTCACCACAGCTGATAGCTGAGTTGTCCCTGTCACTCTAGCTGGTGGTCCAATTGTCCCTGTCACCCCAGCTGATACTACAGGTAGCCCTGTTGCTTCAGCTGATGGGCCAGTTGTCCCTGCCACTGCAGCTGATAGTCCACTTGTCCCTGTCACTCCAGCTGATGATCCAGTTGTCCCTGTCACTTCAACTGATGGTCCAGTTGTTCCCATCACTCCAGCTGATAGCCCAGTTTTCCCTGTCACTTCTGCTGATGGTCTAGTTATTCCTGTCACTCCTGCTGATGATCCAGTTTTCCCTGTCACCTCAGCTGACAGTCCAGTTGTCCGTGTCCCTTCTGTTGATAATTCAGTTGTCTCTGTCACTCCAGCCAATGGTACAGTTGTCCCTGTCACTTCTGCTGATGGTCCAGTTATCCTTGTCACCCCAGCTGATAGTTCAGTTGTCCCTGTCACCTTAGCTGATGGTCTGGTTGTCCCTGTTGCTTCAGCTGATAGTCCAGTTGTCCCTGTCACTCCAACTGGTGATTCAATTGTCCCTGTCACTGCAGTTGATTGTTCAGTTGTCCTTGTCACTTCAGCTGACTGTCTGGTTGTCCCCACCACCCCAGCTGATGGTCCAGTTTTCCCTGTCACTCCAGCTGATAGTCCACTTGTCCCTGTCACTCCAGCTGATAGTCCAGTTATCCCTGTCACTCCAGTTGATGATCTAGTTGTCCCTGTCACTCCAACAGATTGTCCAGTTGTCCCTGTCACTTCAGCTGACTGTCCAGTTGTCCCTGTCACCTCAGCTGATAGTCCAGTTGACCTTGTCACACCAACTGACTGTCTAGTTGTCCCTGTCACCCTAGCTGATAATCCAGTTGTCCCTGTCACCTCAGCTGATAGTCCAGTTTTCCCTGTCACCACAGCTGACAGTCCACTTGTCCCTGTCAGTCCAGCTGATAGTCCAGTTTTCCCTGTCACTCCAGCTGATGATCTAGCTGTCCCTGTCACCCCAACAGATTGTCCAGTTGTCCCTGTCACTTCAACTGACTGTCCAGTTGTCCCTGTCACCCCAGCTGATAGTCCAGTTGACCCTGTCACACCAGCTGACTGTCCAGTTGTCCCTGTCATTCCAGCTGACAGTCTTGTTGTCCCTGTCACTCCAGCTGATGATACAATTGTGCCTGTCACCCCAGTTGATAGTCCAATTTTCTCTGTCACCCCAGCAGATAGTCCAGTTGTCCCTGTCAGCCCAGCTGATAGTCCAGTTGTCCCTGTCACCTCAGTTGATAGTCCAGTTATACCTGTCACCACAGCTGATAGCCGAGTTGTCCCTGTCACTCCAGCTGGTGATCCAATTATCCCTGTCACACCAGCTGATACTACAGGTAGCCCTGTCGCTTCAGCTGATGGGCCAGTTGTTCCCGTCACTCCAACTGATAGTCCAGTTTCTCCTGTCACTTCTGCTGATGGTCCAGTTGTTCCTGTAACTCTGGCTGATGATCCAGTTTTCCCTGTCTCTTCAGATGATAGTCCAGTTGTCCCTGTCCCTTCTGCTGATAATTCAGTTATCCCTGTCATCCCCACTGATAGTCCACTTGTCCCTGTCACTCCAGCTGATAGTCCAGTTATCCCTGTCACTCCAGCTGATAGTGCAGTTATCCCTGTCACTCCAGCTGATGATCTAGCTGTCCCTGTTACTCCAACAGATTGTCCTATTGTCCCTGTCACTTCAGCTGACTGTCCAGTTTTCCCTGTCACCCCAGTTGACAGTCCAGTTGTCCCTGTCACTTCAGCTGATAGTCCAGTTATCCCTGTCACCACAGCTGATAGTCCACTTGTCCCTGTCAGTCCAGCTGATAGTCCAGTTATCCCTGTCACTCCAGTTGATGATCTAGCTGTCCCTGTGACTCCAATAGATTGTCCAGTTGTCCCTGTCACTTCAGCTGCCTGTCCAGTTGATCCTGTCACACCAGCTGACTGTCCAGTTGTCCCTGTCACTCCAGTTGATGATCCAATTGTCTCTATCACCCCAGTTGATAGTCCAATTGTCTCTGTCACCCCAGCAGATAGTCCAGTTGTCCCTGTCACCCCAGCTGATAGTCCAGTTATCCCTGTTGCTTCAGCTGATAGTCTAGTTGTCCCTGTTACTCCAGCTGATACTGTAGTTGTTCCTGTCACTCCAGCTGATAATCCAGTTTTCCCTGTCACCCCAGTTGATGATCCAGTTATCTCTGTCACCCCAGCTAATGATCCAGTTGTCCCTGTCACCCCAGCTGATAGTCCAGTTATCCCTGTCACCCCAGCTGATAGTCCACTTGTCCCTGTCACTCCAGTTGATAGTCCAGTTATCCCTGTCACTCCAATTGATGATCTAGTTGTCCCTGTCACTCCAAGAGATTGTCCAGTTGTCTCTGTCACTCTAACTGACAGTCTGGTTGTCCCTGTCACCTCAGCTGATGGTCCAGTTGTTCCTGTCGCTTCAGCTGATAGTCCAGTTGTCCCTGTCACTCCAGTTGATGATCTAGTTGTCCCTGTCACTCCAACAGATTGTTCAGTTGTCTCCGTCGCTTCAGCTGATAGTTCAGTTGTCCCTGTCACTCCAGCCGGTGATCCAATTGTCCCTGTCACTCCAGCTGATGATCTGGCTGTCCCTGTCACTCCAACAGATTGTCCAGTTGTCCCTGTCACTTCATCTGACTGTCCAGTTGTCCCCATCACCCCAGCTGATAGCCCAGTTATCCCTGTCACCCCAGCTGATAGTCCACTTATCCCTGTCACTCCAGCTGATAGTCCAGTTATCCCTGTCACTCCAGTTGATGATCTAGTTGTCCCTGTCACTCCAACAGATTGTTCAGTTGTCCCTGTCACTTCAACTGACTGTCCAGTTGTCCCTGTCACCCCAGCTGATAGTCCAGTTGACCCTGTCACACCAGCTGACTGTCTAGTTGTCCCTGTGACCCCAGCTGATAGTCCACTTGTCCCTGTCAGTCCAGCTGATAGTCCAATTATCCCTGTCACTCCAGCTGATGATCTAGCTGTCCCTGTCATCCCAACAGATTGTCCAGTTGTCCCTGTCACTTCAACTGGCTGTGCAGTTGTCCCTGTCACCCCAGGTGACAGTCCAGTTGACACTGTCACACCATTTGTCTGTCCAGTTGTCCCTGTCACTTCAGCTGATAGTCTTCTTGTCCCTGCCACTCCAGCTGATGATCCAATTGTCCCTATCACCCCAGTTGATAGTCCAATTGTCTCTGTCACCCCAGCAGATAGTCCAGTTGTCCCTGTCACCCCAGCTGATAGTCCAGTTATCCCTGTCGCTTCAGCTGATAGTCCAGTTGTCCCTGTTACTCCAGCTGATACTGCAGTTGTCCCTGTCACTCCAGCTGGTGATCCAATTGTCCCTGTCACCCCAGTTGATACTACAGGTAGCCCTGTCACTTCAGCTGATGGACCAGTTGTCCCCATCACTCCAGCTGATAGTCCAGTTTTTCCTGTCACTTCTGCTGATGGTCCAGTTGTCCCTGTCATGCCAGATGATGGTCCAGTTTTCCTTGTCACTCCAGCTGATGATCCAGTTGTCCCTGTCACTCCAGCTGATAGTCCATTTGTACCTGTTATTCCAGCTGATGGTCCAGTTGTCCTTGATTCTTCAACTGATGTTCTAGTTGTTTGTTTTCCAGCAGATGGAAACTTGTCCCCTGATCTTGCAGATGATCCAGTTATCCCTGTCACTCCAGGTGATGATCCAGTTATCCCTGTCACTCCAGCATAGTCCATTTGTACCTTGTTATTCCAGTGATTCGGTCCAGTTCTGTCCTTGATTCTTCAACTGATGTTCTAGTTGTTCCTGTTTTTCCAGCAGATGGGATACTTGTCCCTGATCTTGCAGATGATCCAGTTATCCCTGTCACTCCAAGTGATGACCCAGTTATCCCTGTCACTCCACCTGATGATGGCCCATTTGTATGTTTCACTCCAGCTGTTGGTCCAGTAGTCCCTGACCTTACAGCTGATGGTTCAGTTGTCCCTGACTCTTCAACTGATGATCTGGTTTTTTCTGTTTGTCCAGATGATGGTCTAACTGTCCCTGATACTGTAAGAGATTGTACAGTGGTTCCTGATATTGCAGCTGATGACCCAGTTGTCTGAGTCACTGTAGGTGATTGTCTAGGTGTCACTGTCACTCCAGCTGATGGACCAGAGTTTTCCGTTAATCCCGTAACTGGCCCTGTTGTCGCTGATCCTGAAACTGATTGTCCAGTTTTCTCTGTTCCTCTAACTAATAGACTCGTTGTACCCTGTCCTCCAGATGAAGTTCCAGTTGTCCATGATTCTGTAACTAATGGTATGGTTGTTCCTGATCCAGTAATAGATGGTCCAGTTTTCTCTAATCCTTCAGTTGATGGTCTAGTTGTCCCTATAGCTTCAGGTGATAATCCAGTTGTTCCTGATCCTACAAGAGATTTTCCAGTTGTCCCTGAGCCATCAACATTTAGTTCTGTTGTTACTACCACTCCAGCTGATTGGACAGATGTCATTGTCACCCCAGCTGATTGTGCAGATGTCCCTGTCAATCCAGTAAATGGTCCTGTTGCCCCTGATCTTTCAGGTGATTGTCCAGTGGTCCTTGTTCCTCCAACTGATGATGTGGTTGTACTTAATCCTCCAGATGAAGTTTTTACAGTTGTCTCTACTCCTGTAACTGATGGTCCAGTTGTCACTGATCCTACAACAGATTGTTTAGTGGTTCCTGTTACTCCAGCCAATGGTTCAGTTGCCCCAGTCACTCTATCTGAATATCCAGATGTAACTCTCACTCTCGCTGATGGTACAGTTGTCTCTCCTACAATAGGTGGTCCAGTTGTCCCTGATCCTTCAGCTAATGGTTCAGTAGTCTCTAATCCTACAACAGATGGTCTAATTGTCCCTAATCCTTTACTTGCTGGTCCAGTTGTTCCTGTCACTCCTACTGATGGTCGAGTTGCCCCAGTCATTCTAGCTGATTGTCCAGATGTCACTGTTACTCCAGCTGATGGTCCAATTGTCTGTGCTTTTACAACAGGAGGTCCAGTTGTTCCTGATCCTACAGCTGAAGGTCTAGTTGTCTCTAATCCTACAGTAGATGAACCAGTTGTCACTGATCCTTCAACAAAATGACCTGTTAGTGCCACTCCAGCTGATTGTGCAGATGTCCCAGTCATTCCAGCTGATTGCCTAGATGTTCTTATCAACCCAGTAAATGTTTCTGCTGTCCCTGATTTTACAGCTGATTGGCCAGTTGTCTCTGTTTCTCCACCTGATGATCTTGTTGTACCTGATTCTCCAGATGAAGTTACAGTTGTCCTTGTTCCTGTAACAGATGGTCCAGTTGTCCCTGATTTGACAACAGATGATCTTGTTGTTTCTGTAACTCCAGCTGGTGCTCCAGTTGTCCCAGTCTTTCTAGCTGATTGTCCAGATGTCACTGTCACTCCAGGTGATAGTCCAGTTGTTTCTGTTCCTTCATCTGATGGTCCAGTTGTTGCTGATTCTCTTGATGATGACTCAGTTGTCCCTGATCCTCCTGATGATGGCCTTGTCCCTGTCACTCCAACTGATGATTCAGTTGTACCTGATTCACCAGCTAATGGTCTAGTTGTTCCTGATCCCACAACGGATGGTCCAGTTGCCCCTGATCCTTCAGTTGATGGTCCAGTTGTTCCTATCACTCCAGCTGATGCTCCAACTGTTTCAGTCACTCTGACTGATTGTCCAGATGTCACTGTCACTCCACCTGATGATCTAGTTGTCTCTGATTCTAAAAGAAGTGGTCCAGTTGTGACTGATCCTTCAACAAATGATCCTGTTGTCACTGCAACTCCAGCTGATTTTTCAGATGTCACTGTTACTCCAGCTGATTTTGAAGATGTCCCAGTCACTCCAGCCAATTGCCCAGATGTTCCTGTCAATCCAGAAAGGGGTCCAGTTGTTTCTGATCTTGCAGTTGATTTTCTGGTTGTCCCTGTTGCTCCATCTGATGTTCTTGTTGTACTTGAACCTCCAGATAAAGTTCCAGTTGTCCCTGATCCTATATATAATGGTCTAGTTGTTTCTGATCCAATAATAAATGGTACAGTTGCAATTGATCCTTCAGTTGATGGTCCAGTTGTTCCCGTCTCTCCAGCTGATGGTCCAGTTGCCCCAGTCACTCTGGCTGATTGTCCAGATGTCATTGTCACTCCAGCTGATGATTCAGTGGTCTCTGATTCTAAAAGAGGTGGTCGAGTTGTAGCTGACCCTTCAACCAATAGTCCTGTTGTCATTGCCACTCCAGGTGATTTTTCAGATGTTGTTACTCCAGCTGAATTTGAAGATGTCCCAGTCACTGTAGAGGATTGTCCAAATGTTCCTGTCAATCCAAAAAGTGGTCCAGTTGTTTCTGATCTTGCAGTTGATTGTCCAGTTGTCCCCATTCTTCCACCCGATGATCTTGTTGCACCTGAACCTCCAGATAAAGTTCCAGTTGTCCCTGATCCTATAACTGATAGTCTAGTTGTTTCTGATCCAATGACAGATGGTCCAGTTGCCTCTGATCCTTCCACTGATGGTACAGTTGTACCTGCTGTTTCACCTAGTGGTCTACTTGTACCTGATCCTGTAGCTGATGGTTCAATTCTTCCTGATACTTCAGCTGATGTTCCAGTTACATCTGTCACTCTAGCTGATGGTTCAGTTGTTCCTGATTCTGCACCTGATTGTCCAGTTGTCCCAGTTCCTCCAACTGATGGTCTTGTGGTACCTGATCTTCTGGCTGATGGTGCAGTTGTTCCTAATCCTGCAGATGTTGGTCCATTTGTCCCTGATCCTACAAGAGATGGTCCTGATTCTATAATAGATTTTCCAGTTGTCCCTGATCCTTGGCCTGATTGTCCAGTTGTTCCTGTCACTAGAACAGATGGTCCAGTTGTTCTGGAGTCTTCAACTGATCGTGTAGTTGTTCCTGTCACTCCAGGTGATGTTTCAGTTGCTCTTGTCACTCCAGCTGATAATCTAGTTGTCCCTGATCTCACAACAAATGGTCCAGTTGTTCCTGACCCATCAGCTGATGGTCCAGTTGTCCCTATTTCTCTAGCAGATGATCTACTTGTACCTAATCCTCCAGTAAAAGACATAGTTGTACCTAGTTCTGTAGCTGATAATCCAGGTGTTCTTGATCCTGTAAACGATTGTCCACTTGTCCCTGAACCTTCAGCTAATGGTCTAGTTGTCACTGATTCTCTTGATGAAGGTCCAGTTGTCCCTGATCCTCCAGCTAATGATACAGTTGTCCTTAATCCTGAAACTAATGGTCTGGTTGTCCCTGATATTTCAGCTAATGGCCCAGTTGTCCCTGATACTCCAAGTGATAGTTCAGATGTCTCTGTGACTCCTGACGATTGTTCAGAAGTCCTTGTCACTGCAACTGATGGTCCAGATGTTATATCTGATGGCCCCAATGTCCCTGAAACATCAGATGATGATTTAGTTGTCCCTGGTATTTCAGATGATTGTCCATAATTCCCTGTTAATTTAGCTGATGGTCTAGTTGTCTCTGTCTCCCCAGTTGATGATCCAGTTGCCCCTGTCACAAACACATAGTAAAAATAGAATGATGTTAATAGCTATCTTGGTCCTTGGTTAACCTTTAAGACTCGTGTGGCTTTGTTTCTCTAGTACAGCTTTTATACCTCTTCATCTCCATAACCACCATATTATTTCATACTTTTCTTTTTGCTACATCGTAACTTCTTTTAACAAAAAGAGTCTCACTTTGTTGCCCAGGCTGATCACAAACTCCTGGGTTCAAGTAATCTTCCTGAGTACCTGGGACCACAGTGATCTTCACTGTGCCAGCTCTAGCATAACTTCTTTCTGTTTGTTTATTTTCATAAAAATAATTTATCCAATATCTATTGTGTGTCAAAGAAGTTGTCAGCAACTTATAAGTATCACCTCACTTTACCATTTGAGTAATTCTATGAGATACATAATATTACTTTTTTATAAAATAGAAACTAAAGCAAGATTAAGTTGCTGTTCTAAGGGGATGCAGATAAATGGTTCTCTGCTCCATGGGACATTCTAGTGGGAAGAGAAAGGTAGACATAAATAAAATAACTAGCCAACCAATAACCAAATTCACAAACAAGAAAAGCTTCAGAGCATTAATATAAAGTGAATTGATACTAAGCAAATGGAATATTCTATTTTAGACTGTCTGGATAGTAAAGGCTTCTCTGAGAAGATGGTCTTTATTTTGAAGTCTGATAACAAGAAGCAACCTACTAGTGAAGCTCTAGGAGAATGGCGTTCCAGGCAGAGTTAACAGCCAGTACAAAGGTCATAAGTCTAATGGAGCTATGCTTGCTAGAAAAGCAGAGCTAGAAGTTGAGTATAGCTGGATAATGGGAGCTGAGGTGGGGAATATTATAAGTTAAGGTCAGATATGTAGGAGCAAGTGAAATGTTTATGAATCAGGGAGGAAGATTGAAGATTTTTCTAAATGCAAGGGACTATAATTTTAAACAAGGGAGAAATAGCATAGAATTGATATACATTTAAAATCCCTCTTTACACTTTGTAGAAAATACATGGCAGGGGTGCATTATAGAATTAAGAAGAACAATTATGAGGTAATTTCAGAAGTTCAGATAATTTATGAGTGACTTGGGTTAAAATTGTGGTAAAAGAGACTGAGAATAGTGGATAGGGTCAGGATATGTATTGGAAGTAGCATTAACAGGCCTTGTTTAGATATGGGAGGTACAAAAAAAAAAAAGAGAACCATCAAGGATGACTATAATATTTTTACCTGAGTGAATTGAGTCAGTGATGGTAACATTTTCTAATATGGGGAAGACTCAGAGAACAGGTGTGCGCATAAAGGGAAATCCAGTATCACCCAGAAGGCTCTGGTTCTGAAGATCCTAATATATCAAGAATACCACTAAGGAACCAGATAAAGATGGAAACCTTGGATCTGTGGAGACATGGATCTGCACAGCGGTGTGTCTGTGTGTGTACGGGTACATGTTTCCAGCAAAACTCCACTACTTGGGTAGAGCAGAAAAGAGTTCACTAACCCTTGACGGCTCCAATCCTTCCAGAAGGTTCCCTTCCATACGACCTGTTATTTTACCTCATTGATGAGAATAAAACCTCTCTATCCTTTACCAGATTGGGAATTACTATTCACTTACTGAATTATTTACCAGATATCCACCAGACACTTATCAAGTAGCCAAACAGAAACTGAGCTAGGCACTAGGAACACAACTGTAAACAAAGATAGGCAATGTGACAAGATCTTCCTCCAGTTTTAACCGAAATCTACCATGTTGGTGGTCTGTCTAGTAAAAGATAATGACTGGATGAAGAATCAACAATCCAGGCCCTGACTTGGCCTAACAACATACTCATCCTGTGACTTTGGGGTAAATACATGGAGTTTTCCTAGATAAAATGTAAATAATTACTAATATATTATTGACTGCATAGGGTGTCTGTAAGATTTAAGTAAGTTAATACATGTGAAAACATTTGTCCATTTTATACTTTATACAGTTGTTTCCTGATGATCGTTTTTACCTTTGTTAAAACAGATTAAGATAACTTATACATGATATTATATAATGGTTAATGACTGCTTCATATGTTTACATTACAAATAATATTGTATTAAATATATCCAGTAGAAACTAAGATATAAGTGGCTTTATCTACTAATATTTTATCCTACTAATTATATTTTTCAGGCATTTTTTGGCTTATTTTCTGAGAAGTATTTAAATATAAATAAATAAATTGATTGGTAATGTATCTCTTTAGTCATTTCAAACAAGTTAAGTCTTATGAGACACAAACATTGTTTAGCAAGGGATCTGCAACACCCACTATACAGCTTACATATTTCCTCAACAAGTCAGCTTTGAACAAATGAGTTATAGACATGCCTTCTTGCAAATTCTAGAAAAGAAGACTTTTTAAAAACGCATGTGTAGAGGTTTTAGGAAGAAAACTGATTTCTGAATTTTTAAACAATTCAGAAGGCAGTGTTACTTTCTAAATTGTTCTTAGAAATGGGGAAAGCTGTTCATTAAGGTTCTAGATCTCTGTTCAATAAAGAACATATGGGAAAATATGCTAATACTTTAAACCACAATAATTTCTAATACTAAAGACAGTGGGGTTTTGCAAAAGATTGCAAAAAAAGAATTCTAGTTTGAAATTTGAATAATCTGCTGATCTAAGACAATCTTTTAATGCCCAACAGCATATTATATTATTCGTGGCAGAGAATTTATTGAACTCTTAAATATTTGTATTCTGGGAAAATCATATAATCAATGATTTGCAAAAATAACTAGCATATTATTTTGTAATTATTTATTACTTTTAGCCTATATTGAATTATGTTAGCTTGTTGCATAAGTTATTTTGTGTGGAAAAATGCAGAACTTAGACAATGAAATTGTAACTAAATGAGCAAATACACCCTAAGAAGCCCTTAACTCAAAAACAACAATTATGGACCAACCGTGAGAGAGTGTTAGAGGGTCACTATTGCTTTTTTTTTTTCTAATTTAACTCCATTATGGTTTTATCAAGTAACATTCCAGTGATTTCTAAATTGGCCATGTGACAACATCAGATTTAAAATGCTGCACTAGTTTAGTTTAATAATGGAAAATATCTAAACTATCAGATCATTTTTATTATCTGTGATTTGAGGTAATGCACTAATTGATACCTCCATAGTGCATAAATACTGAATAACAAAGCATGCAATGGCAACATCTTTAATGGATTCACAGAATATTTAAATAACAGTGCTCTAAGTTTCAAGCAGGAAAGATTTTCAACAGAATTAATGCCCTACTGAATAAGCTTTTATAAACAAGTTTCTACATTGACTCCCATTTTTGTGACCTTTTAGCGCTTTGCGAATCTCACCTGGTGTATTTGAAGAGCCTGTGGTGGTAGCACTGCTGGACCGCCCAGATGTAATTTCACCTCCACTAGTCGTACCACCCAGTGTTCCAGGTGTACCTGTGGCAATGGCAGAAATGGAAAGGACACATTCACAGAATTTCTTAAGCTATGAGATAACCAATTCTCACTTAAATTAACTTCCACCTAAAAATTACAGAAATCTTCAGTTTTCTGTATCGATAAAAATAATGATCCTTTCCACATTTAAAAAACGTACTTTGACGTACACTATTCATTATTTCCTTAGCTCCTCATCCCAAGCTCACAAAGTAGATCACTTTGACCCACATTTTACAGATAAGAAAACAGAGGTTACAGAGCTTAAGTGATTTACTTGCTTAACAGCATGACATCGATTCTGAGGAACAGTATTACACGAACATCCCATATTGCCCCTTGGCAAGTACTGGGTCCCCCATTTTACCTACCTGGTTTGCTTCCAGAGATTGTCACTGCTGTGGCTGAGGCTGCATTGGTGTGTTTACTCACAGGGCTACTGGTAGTTGAAGCAGCAGATACTGTCGGGGTCCCTGGTTATCAACAACAATGGTTCAGGCTCACTGCTGCAAATATACTGGTCCCTACTCCATGCTGATAGCACAGAACTGAGATTTCTAAAGTATAGTGGATTAACGGCATCTTCTCTACGCTTTCCCTTTGTTCTGACATTTAATGTCAGTTATAGCCTGATCAATAGTCCACATCACACACTGCTGAGGAAGGTAGGATTGAGAACTATTAAGGAGTCATGTCCAGACTTGCCTGATTTTCCAAAACTGGTGGCCCCAATGCCTGCTTCCCCAGGGGTGCTGCTACTTGGAGCTCCAGGAGTTGCTCCAGGTGATACCACAGGTGTGCCTGAGACTTTCAGAGAAAACAAACAGTTTAAGAAACTCACTTTTATTCAATCACTGTGACCTGAAACAACTTGGAAATCTCTTCCAGTATATTTATACTCATAATATTTACACAGTTTAGTGATATTAGGACTTCTTGCTCAGGAAGGGTATACATGTTAATCTGATAAGGCACTATTACACCATCACAATCCTTGTTTGCCTTTGACACTGAATGTGCCTCTTTCTAGAATTACCTACAAGTTATAATTCCAGAGTAAATTCTTCTCCAAACTGCACCATTTACCCATTGCTGTGTTCCTTAACTTTTTGCTTTTTTCATGTGTTTAAATATTACTTTCTTCTAAAAAATTCTAAGCTTTGTAAGTATAAGAGCATCTTCTGGTACCTAACACATTACTAAGCTCTCAATAAATATTGTCTCGTCAAAATACAGTGGTTTGTGTTAAGGTAGGCAGATAGCCAGAAACGAGCAGGCAAGGGAACCCCCTGGGAAAACAAGTCCTGGAGATGCTGTCACCTCATAGTCAGTGCCACCCATTGACAGGCAGCAAAAAGACAACAGCTACACTGGCTACTTCTGGCCTTGTGGTTGAGCTCCTCTTGCCTTGAAGGGGACTTACCAGGCCCTAGCTGGAGATAATCAGGTTATGGATTTTCCCTCCTGACGAGCACACACACTCCTCCAAAAAATTGTCCTGGAGTAGACTTTTGCTCATTATAATAGTAAAAAGCACATCCCTGGGTGGAGATTTTAAATGCTAATGAGACACGCAATGTGTGTACTGGCATGTACAACAACAGAGCATGGGCACGGAAAGAGACATCTTGAAACATGCATGCAAGTAACACCCCCCTCACGCCCCTTCATGAATAATAGGTAAGATTCTCATAAAATCAGTCCCCCAGCACTAGCTGCTGCTGGCTCATTCTTCCAAGCAGTCCACTCTGTCTTGTGTCTCAGAGTGTACTACATATTTAAATAAACCCTGCTACTACTATTTTTTCAACCCTACCAGCTCAGAACTGTTTTCCACTCCTCTCTAAGAATGTACTTCATCAGGATTCCCGCACTTTCCGGTAACATTTGCATTTATCTGTTTACAAGTACTAAATTCTTCATAATCTCTTGATAAATTAAATTTTGATATCAGAGCTCACACTTCTGCTAATTAAACATAACTTTAGATATAAATAATATTTCAAATGCGACTTCACGGGAGGCTAAAGAGGTTGCGGTATCTGATCTTCCAATTGTATCCAATTTGAAAAATAACGAGGTTCTGCCTATAGATTGCTGCAAATGCTTTTTGACAAAAGTCCATTATTAAACTTATTATTGCTAAAATTTTCCTCATTCTCTTATAATTAACTTGTTTTTTAAAAACTCACTTGGACTTGCACTAATTATATATAAGACCTTTGTGTTTGACCATTGCTCTCACAACAAAATGTGCTTTGTCTTACCTGCTGTGTTTCCAGGACCAGTGGCCCTAGTACCTGATGTTCCAGCTGTGTTTCCACTGCCTGCTCTGGTGGTGGCTTCCACGGACCCTTCTGTTGAACCTGGTCAACATACAAAGGCAGCTAGGATTACATTAATTTCCAAAGTTTCTAGGAAATTAAGGCAACTGTTAAATATTCTTAGACATCCCCATTATTCATCCTTTTGTCTGAGTATTTCAATAGCTTTGTTTCTGATCAATGCAATTGATTTGAATGAATAAGCTTCTGTGATTATTTAGCTATTTACTCAATACGAAATCCCAACTCACTGCCTGGCATCCCAGTCATTCTTCCTGCCAGTGTAGTCAATTCACCCGACATTCTGGTTGTTCCTGTTTTGTTTTGTTTTGTTTTGCTTTGTTTTGTTTTGAAGAAGAGGGAGGATGAGGAGGAAGAGAAGGAGGAGAAAGAGGAGGATAAAAGTAATATGAAAAAATTGTTAAACTCAACTTCATTATTTATGAATGATGTTTCTATGGCTGCTTCCACCACCCAAATTCATGTCTTCCTTCCTCCTACCTAAAATATTGCAATTGTTTCCTCTTTACCCAATTAACAGGTCAATATTCTTCATCACAAATACCTTCTCTGCTTAAGAATATGGAATGTAGTAATTCTTCAACATTAATGTGTGTAAGAATCATCTGGTGAGCCTATTAAAAATGTAAATTCCCTATCTCTCCCAGCAGAAATTCTAATTCTATTTTATAACATTGAAAAGGTTGGTCTTGTATTGCAATTAAACTCTTATATTCATTTTCAGTTTGCAGAGAATCCAGAGGATAAAAGAATAAGTTAATTGACATCATGGATAAGAGCTAAATTTAGAATATCTAGAAAGGGATATAAGAACTTGATTCGTTTCAGGTTCATCATTTTGGGCAGGAATAATTTCTAGGATCACAAAAGGAGACACATAACATCAAGTCCCCACTATCAGTGATGCTATGTTTGATCACTAGGTTTAGGTGGTGGCAGCCAGAACTCTCCAGTATAAAGCATTTTTCAATTCTGCAATTAGCAAGTAATCTGTTAGGTGATACTTTGACATCAGGCAAACATCCAAGTCCTAGTCAACCTTTCACCCAATGTTTTCAGCATTTATTTATGATCCTTGTCTATTTTATTCAGGGTTTCAAAACAGCGATTTTTCCAATTGTGTCTTTTTTCAACATTTATGAGTTGGAATTTTTCTTTAAATAGATTTCTCGGATCAACTGGAACTATTTGAATATCTTGATACATAGTTTCTAATAAAAATAGGTGATAATTGATTAATTTTTCTCTTTAAATACCAATCTCCAGAATAAGGACTCGACATGATAGTCACCACCACCATTATCAAATGTTGCTGTGGTGGTTTCTTTTTATTAATTATCATTGGGGGTATGTATGTTTCAATATTATCAACAGGTCTCAATCTATTACAAATAATTATTTTTTCAGTGCTCAAAATTCTCCAGATTTGGTCAACAAGAACTCATGCAGTTTAGCGCCCTTGTCATTTAGGCAGAGCTCCCTTAGTCCTTGAATGCTTCCTCATTTTCTGACTCAAGAAGTCCCAAGCTGACCTTGTACTTTTCTTGTCCAAGACCTGGAATTAACCATTTCTCCAAGAAAGAGTGAACACAGAAATTTATGACTGCAAACTAGCTGACAAGGGGTGCACACTACTGTTAGGGTACTACTGCTTTTAGGCCATTTCAGTGGCCAGAGGTGGAAGATACAAAGATTAATAAATATATAGATAATAAATGTATTATATTGGAAGACATATATTTCCATATGTTAGAAGTATATATATTTATACCTATATTTAGGTATATCACACATATTTGTGATGTTTGTATATATTTCTAGTATATAAAAATATACATTTTCTATATATATCATATATTTAGATTTATATAAATGATATATAGATCGTAAGTTTATATTTCCCACTCAAATGGAACATTACAGAAATTTACTTAATTATTTGATCTCTTTTTTTCTTTTTTTTTTGAGACAGGATCTCACTCCTTCTCCCAAGGTGGAGTGCAGTGGTGCAATCACTGCTCATTACAGCCTCGACTTCTGGGCTCAGGTGATTCTCCACTTCAACCTCAATCATTTTCTCAGAGGTTTAAGCTAGGATACAGGCATGTGCCACCATGTGTAGTTAATCTTTTGTATTTTTTATTTTGTAGAGATGGGGGTCTCACTATGTTGCCCAGGCTGCTCTTAAGCTCCAGGGCTCAAGCAGTCTGCTGGCCTCAGCCTCCCAAAGTACTGGGATCACAGGCGTGAGCACTTTGTCCAGCCCTGATTTAATTATTGTATTTCTTTTCTCTTACATTTAAAATATTGATTTCTAATAACACTTATACAACTACTAATTGTTTTATTCTGTAATATATAAAAAACTATTTCAAAGTGAGAACACTCATGTAACTACTGAGAAGAAAATTACTGAATGAAGTTTAAAATTTCCTAGCAGTCTTTTTGCCATTAAAATACACGACACTAGCATATACTGTCTGATTACTGTGTTTTAAAGTCATGTGAAATAATTATTTTTTCCATGTGATTATAATTTGATATTCAATTAGGTTCACTTGTTTTGGTTGGTTTTCAGTTTTAGGGTTTGCTTTTTTTATTTTGATTTAACTGTGTTTTTAAAAATACATATGACATTTTCCTTTTCAAAAGCCAAAATTCTATCTAAAAGAATACTCTGAGAACTCAAAATTCTGCTGTTTTGGTTTATTCCCTATAAGTAATGACTTTCACTAGTTTTTAGTTTATCTTCTGTGTTTTTTGTATGCATATTTGCATATGTATATATAATTCATATCCTTACAAAACATATATACATATATGTACACACACATACACACACCCCTCTTTTTCATAAAGGTATAAATGGTATATACAATTCTGATTTCTTTTTTTCCTTTACAATAAATTCTGGAAATAACTAGATCAGTACATAGAGATCTTTCTCACTCTTCTATTAGGATGGCCTAGTGCTGCTTTTTGTCATCTTTTATTCCATGTGTATTTGATGAGTTGTTTCCAGGCTCTTTCTATTAAAAAAAATGCCAGTATGAAAAGTTTATGTATGTTATTTTATATTTTGGTTGTCTAGCTTTAGGAGTACTAAAAGTGGGATTTCTGGGTCAAAGGATAAACAAGTCTGTAATTCTGTTAGATTTTGCCAAGTTACCCTCGTTGGAGCTGTAACATTTTGTGCTCCCACCAGCAATGCGCAGAGCACCACCTGTTTCTTTCCAGAACTGTCAACAGGGCTGTTGTCACACTTTTGGATTTCTGTCAATCTTGAGAAATGGTATCTCAGTGTAGTTTTGGTTTACATTTTTCTTGTGTGAAGTTGATCATTTTCTCAGAGGTTTAAGAATCACTTATAGTTCTTGTTCTCTGTAATTGAATTCGCATCTTCTATTATTCTAGTTTTTGATTTGCTTTATGCACTTTTTCCCTTTGCTGATTTTGCTTGGCAATAAATCACAGCCATGAGTATGATTCTATATTGAGTCTTGTGAGTCCTTCTAGCGAGTCCCAAAACTTGAAGGGGTCTTGTGCACACTGACACATATTGCCTTTCCATTTGGTCAAAACTGCTTTTGTGTCTTTAAGTAGAGTTTTAACGTTTTCCTCATGTAAGTTTTATCTTGTTTGGATTATTCCAGGGTAATTTATCTTATTTGTTGTTTATATAAATTGGACTTTGCCCTTCAAATATATATTTTAACTTGCTATTTGTATTTATGTAGACTTAATTTTTATAGATTAATCTTGTGTCTTGGTACCTTATTAAATTATCTTACTGCTTATAGCTTTGCCATTGATTCTCTAGGGTTCTGCAGGTACACTATTATGCCATCTGTAAATAGAAATAGTTTAATATTTTCTGTTTCAAATTCTATGCTTTCAGTTCCTACATAATCCAATTTATTAATAACCAGAAGATATTAAATAGTAGTATGATTGTATGTCTCTTTATCTTGTTCCTGAAGATAGTGGAATAAGTTTAGAAATTCCTTATTAAGATGCTACATGTGTGGCTGAGGTATATGTACTTTACATTTATTTATTTATTTATTTATTTTTGTGAGACAGAGTCTCGCTCTGTTGCCCAGGCTGGAGTGTAGTGGTGCGATCTCGGCTCACTGCAACCTCCGCCTCCCAGGTTCAAGCAATTCTCCTGCCTGAGCCTCCCGAGTAGCTGGGATTACAGGCGCCTGCCACCACACGTAACTAATTTTCATATTTTTAGTAGAGACGGGGTTTTGCCATGTTGGCCAGGCTGGTTTCAAACTCCTGACCTCGGGTGATCTGCCTGCCTCGGCCTCCCAAAGTGCTTACAGGCATGAGCCACCAAGTCCGGCCGTGTTTTAAGGAAATATCCATTCATTCCTATTATTTTAAGTGGTATTTTTTTCCCATCAGAAATGATTAGGCAATGTTTATCAAATACCATTTTAGCTTCTGTGGGTTGTTTTTTTTTCCTCCTTAGATCTGCTATTAATATTATGAATTACATTAAAAGATGCCTTAATTTTGAAAAAGTCACCAAAAATCAGTATTAATAAAAATAATTGAGCATTAGTTTCTTCCTGATAGCTCATTCTTCCTTTTTTGTAAACTGATGCTTCTTGTACTTAGCTCATGAGATTTAAACAATTTGCTTGACTACTTCCTACCTGTTATCTATGAGTAAAGCGAGTCCAATTGTTTTTCCGAATACTTTACAGAATTGACTCTTCAGGATTAATTCTTCCAGGTATATGGTAGGTTCTTTCACTACATAGATTTAGGGTTTTTTTCTAAATTAAGACTATTTTTCCTTATTTATAATTTTAAATATTAGCTCTGTTTCATTGCTTTTTCTTCTCCAGATATGGCAATAATATGTCTTCGATATTTTTGTTTGTTTCCTAAAACTATATCCTTCTCTAGCCCATTATACCTTTTTTGAAAGTATCTGTAATATTTCAGGGGTAGGGTACCTCTTCTCCGTTCTATCCTCTAATAGCCTTGCTGTATTTTCAGTGTTATTTATTCTCAGTGGAGCAATTTGCTATTTGGTCTTTTGAGATAATTTTTCTTTTTCTTCCATTTTCTCCTGGGTTTTCACCAATTCCAATGTAACATTCCTGCTGTTTATCTATTTCCACTCTTAATTTTTAATCTATAATTTTGATGTCTCTTTGTAGCTGCAGTTGTTTCCTTAGTTGTTTTTTGTTTGTTTGTTTGTTTTTTGTTTTTTTTTGAGACGAAGTCTCACTCTGTCGCCCAGGCTGGAGTGCAGTGGCGCGATCTCCGCTCACTGCAAGCCCCGCCGCCTCCCGGGTAACGCCATTCGCCTGCCTCAGCCTCCCTAGAAGCTGGGACTACAGGCGCCCGCCACCATTCCCGGCTAATTTTTTTGTATTTTCAGTAGAGACAGGGTTTCACCGTGTTCGCCAGGATGGTCTCGATCTCCTGACCTCGTGATCCGCCCGCCTCGGCCTCCCAAAGTGCTGGGATTACAGGCGTGAGCAACTGCGCCCGGCCAGTTGTTTTATGTTAATGTTATGTTTTTGTATTCTTTAGCTTCATGACTAGATTTTTACAATTTGCTTGCTACTGCTGCAAAGTTTTTGAAAATGTATACAAAGGAATAACTGTGTATCGATATTGGAATTTCTTTTTTTTCTTTATTATTATTATTTTTTTCAATGTTTTGTGGGCCAGTAATAGTAGGAGATTCTATGCAGGGGGCAGCAGAGAGGCTTCCATATGCTTCCCAGATTCCTCAGATAAAGGGCTCCCCTCTTATGTTCTTACAGTGAGGAAGCTTTGTTTATAAGTGGCACTTTTTCCTTGTCTGTCTTCTGATGCTTTCATTATTATCCTGTTTTACTGAGACCTTTATTTTTACATACTTATTTTTTTCCTTTGACACCCAGGTTCCAAGGGTTGCTCCCCCTTCCAAAAACTTCCATGCACTCTCCAATACTCTTTCAACTCCATTCATGAGGGCTCTCTGACCTGCCAGGTCCCAGATTTTCTCTCAGCATTTTCCACTCAAGTTGGGGATCTTTCCTTTTGAGGCTCAACTCTACTTGATTGAACCACTAGAATCATAGTATTCTACCACTATTAGGACCTCTCTATACTTCTCTATTTTCTATGACGCCCTTACCTATATCTCAGCCTCACGGTAAGCCTCAGAGCCATCATTCCCAGTTTTTGGAGTCTGGCTCTTCTCTGTCTCCACTAAACACCGTAAGTGTGGGCTCTGTTTTCATCTTTATGATTTGAAGAAAGAGGTACCTATAGACTTCAATTTATGCAGCCACCATTTTCCTGTTTTTGTTTTTGTTTTTGTGTTTTTCCATTGGTTTCTTGAGCTTAAATCCTATTCGAGTCTACTAGTGTCAGTGCAAATTAAGGATCAGGTTGATACTACGACTAATTAAATTACATTCTGCTTGTGATAAAAGGATTTTTGGTGTGTTTGAATATTTAACCAGGTCATCAGATATTTACAACAGAGATACAATATGTAAGAAATTCGGTTAAGGAAGGCTATTCACTGATTCAGCTGTGAACAACTTACTCACCTGCTTCATTTCCAGAGACGAATTTAGGATGAACTATGTGTAATAAATGGTGCTCTCAAGTCCTGCTACTTGAAGACTATAATCATTTATATTGAGAACATGTGTGTAGTAGGTCATATCTGCTTGGCTATATATTATAAAAGAGTGATATATTGCTTTGATTTTGCAATCTCTTAACAGACTGCCTCTGATGTGCATCACATTCTGTTTTAATGCTTATTAATAGTTAACCTATATTTTATTCTGTACTACTTTTGTGCAGGGGGTTCTGGATTTGAAGAATATTTTGTTTTTAATCCTCCTTCCCCAAAACCTGAATAACTGCTTTTTATTCCCTTGCAGTTGAATAGATTCTTAAAATTTCACTCAGCTTCCTTGTATTTTGAGTTTTTGTTCAAGTTGGGGCATATAGACATAGCTCATAGTGCACTGATTATATTATTTTCAAAATAGAATAATTCCGTTGTTTTAAACAAATTAATCAGTCACTTTACTAGAGTTGACTCTCAAGTCTTACTCCAATGCGTGTTATTGAACAATTCCTCCACTTTGATTATCTTTTGCCTTTGTGTGTATTATAAATATTAATTTCTTTTGCTAAGAAATGAAGTTCTATGAGAACAAATGCCTTACTCTACTCCTCTTTTATGTTGTCTGTATCCCCCAGGATGATATTGAACACACAACAAATATTTCTTGATTTATTTCTGATCTTCTGCAGTTTTGACATTACACAAATAATAATTAAATTCCCCAGGCAACCTTGTCTCTGACAAAATTTTAAGTAAAAAAATTACACTTCTACTGTCTGGATTTATTCTAATTATGCTCTTTCCATACCCGATGCTCCAGAAGTGTTTTCACCAGCAGCTCCAGTGGTGGCTACATTTCCCCCTTCAGTTGTTCCTAATTGAAAAGAGCAACAGTGCTCAGTCTGCATCAGAGTTTTCAAAATCACGAAATAAAAATACAGGACACCCAGTTAAATATGAATCCCAGACAAACAATCAACACTGTGTTTTGATCATTGCATGGGACATACTCATCCTAAAAAAAAAAAAAAATTGTTCCTGATTTGTGTGAAATTCAAATTAACTGGTATCCTATATTTTCTCTGGCAAGCCTAGTCTACATAAATGGTTATAATGAAGTACTCTTCGAACAAATTTCAGGGTTTCTTTAAAGAGGTAGGGGGTCTACTTAAACTATCCATGATCATTTGTTGTAAAATTAGATCCCTTCTAAATTCGCTTAAATTTATAAGAATTTGAGGTTCCAACTAGGTTTGTGACTCACCACCACTAAAGTGACCAGGTGAGCCTGGGCTTGGCCTGGTGAGTTTCCCAGGTAAGCTGGAATCAGTGAAAGATGTTCTCGCTGTGATTTCACTGTCAGATCCAGCGGTAGATCCAAGAGGCTGTCCTGTTCCACCTGGCAAACACAGTGTTGGGAGAGCACATACATTATTGTGACAACCCAGTGCCATAGCAGTTTTGAAGGAAATACTTGGAGAAAACCTAAATTAAAACTTTTCTTGAAAATGTGAATAACTTATATACCTTTCTATCTTCTGTTGGATGGCATTTATACTTAGTGAAATTTGCAGAGGTCTGATGAAAGATTGTCCTTTTCACCAAAAGCCATGGCCTCGGAATGACATCCTCTACTCACCTGACATGCCTTCAGATGATGTCGCTTCACTGCTTGTGGCTCTAGTTTTTCCACCTACTGAGGGTCCAGTAGTTCCTTTCAAAATAGACAATAAATATGTATCGTGATCTTTGATTTAGCAGAACAGAGGGTGCTACTCTCTGCCTTCAAAATATCTTTTGTTTACACTTCTTCATTTCCAGGAATGGTTCACTCTTTCCAAAAATTCATTATGAGAATCATATACAATTGTTGGCATCCCTGAGAGTGCTTATTTACTTCTTCCTTGTAAATAAGCTTGTTTATTATTTACTTGTTTAATATTCAGATATTTGAACCTAGTGGTTCTCAACTCAGGTTGCATGTGGGACCCGTGAGGCTTTTTAAAAATACTTAATGCCTGGTCCCTTCTTCCAGGGACAGATTCAATTAGTCTGTGACGGATTCTTCAATATGTATTTTTGAACATTTATCTAGTTGATTCTAATTTGTAGTTAGGATTGCAAACTATGACCCTAGCCCCACTCCAGACTCACAGACTCAGAAGTTCCAGAACAGGAACCTCTGTCTGAATCTGTATGCCCGATTACTACCTGCAATACCGCTGGTCAGTAACTGGGCTTCCTAACTCCAGTTCTTTTCGTTCTTTACAGCACTGCTAAATAAAGAAAATGTGGAGATCCACACGCTCCATTTTACTCCTGCATACTCACTGACTTTTCCCTTTTACTTACCTGATTTGCTGCTTTCAGAGGTTGTGACTGAGGCTTCAGGGCTGGCAGTGGTGGAGCCTGCAGAAACTCCTGTGCTTCCTGAAACCAAGAGAGGAGCAGGTATATATGTTATTACTTCTGTTACTATGACTACTTGGAAGGTTCCAGAAAAAGGAAGTGAAAGAAACTATCCCTCCAACTTTCCTCAGCCCTGCATCCTAATACTAGTTCTAGCCTGAATTTACAGAGCATCACTTAGTGTAGGAGATATGGTTGGGAACTTCTGAGACATTATGTCCAGCCTGGTCAATCTTACCAGAAACTGTGGCTCCAGGGCCTGCTTCCCCCAGGGTACTGCCACCTCCGACTACAGGGGTTGCTCCAGATACCCCCAGTGTGCCTAATTTTTTATCATGGAAAAAAATAATGTCTGCTAAGAAAGTTAAATCCTTATAAAAGTGACCTAAAATATATTTTTTTTCTTTAAAAAATGAATCTATCTCATATAAATACACATTTTTTTCTTTTAAAAAATGAATCTATCTCATAAATGTCATGACAAGTTCTTGTTCAAGGTAAATCAAATAAATCAGGAAACTCTGATATTGTACTGATTACAATAAAGGAGTTTTTCTTCGTAAAATAGAGTAATCGTGCAGATAATTCACTGTTCAACACTGAATAGTTCAACATTGAATTGTCTTGTCTCTTCTTACTAGAATTGCCTTATGCTCCAGCATGCACCTTTTATTTGCTTGATTAACTCCTGCCTTTCTTAGTCTTTATCATCTATGTCTGTAGGAATATTTATTCCTTCCTCTCCAAAGTGAAGTAGAGTGAGAACAAATATATGGCCCTATTCTTTTCCTGTATCCCACAGAGCATCTATCACAGTATAAGGTATACAGCATATGCTTGTTGGTATAGTTCTGATCTTCTGCACACACAGCCTTACGTAATGTTTGGATTCCCCAAGAAACCTTGTTTCTGACTAAATTTTGACCAGAAAGCTCACGTGTCCACAGTACAGCATCATGATGTTTTTGCTCTTCCAGTACCTGCTCTCTCAGATGTATTTTCACCAGCAGCTCCAGTGGTGGCTACATCCACTCCTCCAGTTCTTCCTACTCGGAAGAATAATGGTGCTTAATGTATATGGATAGCTACCAAAAAAATTATTTCAGGATATTCAGTTTCATGTTGTTTTCTAAAATATTGCCCTTGGTTATATTTACTGAATCTCATTATCGTATTCTGGGGTCTTGGCAAAGCTTGTGTTGGATCCCAGTTACAGCCCCCAAAAGAGTCTTTGTCTTGCCTGCTGGGTTCCCAGGGCTGGTGGCCCCACTGCCTGATGCTCCCGGTGTGCTTCCCCTGCCTGCTCCTGTGGTTGCGCCCAGGAATCCTCCAGTCGTACCTAACAAACACAGTAGCAGTAATTTCAACATATGATGCTTCTAAAGGAAAAGACTGGGAGATTCTAGTCACATTTCAAGCTTCTTGAGCAGCTTACATGTTTTGATTATGCCCATTTATCAGGCGCTAAAGCATGTTTTGACTACGCCCATTTAACAGGAGCTAAAGCACATATCCTAACTTGCCTGATTGTCCAGGGCTTGCAGCTCCTTTGCTTGGTTCCCTGGGTGTGGGCAGGAGGGCCTCCGGTTACTTTCGATTAAAAAAAAAAAAAAGTATTTAAAAAAATGTCCTCGCCGGGCATGGTGGCTCACGCCTGTAATCCCAGCTCTTTTGGAGGCAGAGGCGGGTAGATCACCTGAGGTCAGGAGTTCGAGACCAGCCTGGCAAACATGGCAAAACCCTGTCTCTATTAAAAATACAAAAATTAACCAGGCCTGGTGGCAGGTGCCTGTAATCCCAGCTACTCGGGAGTCTGAAGCAGGAAAATCGCTTGAACCCAGGAGGCAGAGGTAGCAGTGAACTGAGATCGCACCACTACACTCCAGTCTGGGCAACAAGAATGAAACTCCATCTCAAAAAAAAAAAAAATGCCCTACACATAAACCAACTCATTTACTCTTATTAAATTCCTCTGAAACAAGTCATATTATTATTCTTATTTATTAGATGTGATTAAATGACTTGCTCCAGGTCACCAAGTTGGTCGACAGCAGATCCAGGAGCCAAATTCAAGCAGTCTAACTACAGTTAATACTCTAACCTGTTTCTCAAACAATATGTAGCAAAAGATCAATTTTGTAAAATTTCCAATACTTTGAAAAAGGCCATAAAATAGAGAAATGAAATTTTTAAAAGTAAAACCTTACAAAACACAAGTCTTTATTTAATAGACATAAAAATCATCCTGTAAAATTGCTATGTTTTTAAATACTTACTCTCTGTTTCAGTTCTTAATACATCAAAAACTGGTAACAGTCTGGCTAGTATCCATCTGTCGACCAAACTTTGAGTAGCCCTGCTCAAAATCCTTATACATACTGCCTCATAACCAAAAGAGATAGCTGATTGGCTTATCATTATTATCCAAGTAATTTCCATGCAGGTTTTAAGAAATGTAAACAAATGGTCATCACTCTAAAATTTAAGTTTACTGACCTGATTGGAACCAACCACTTTCTTAATTTGTGCTATTGTACATTGATTATATCCTTTAAACCATTAATTTTTCTGTAAACTATATCTTATTCCATAAAGTGTTTAAGTTATAATGTTTAAATCAGGAAAATTGCTAGGGGATAGTAAATGTAGAAAAAATAAAATTAGGCCATGGATTAGTTACCAAGTGCATAAAGAGAAATAGTTCCATGTATACACTAAAGAAATGGCTTTTAACCCAGTATATATGTAAAGAAGTTTTGATTTATCTTAAAAGCAATCAGAACAATTGAAGAATTGTAAGTAGTGGAGTGACATGATGATAGTTGAGATTTTGGAAGTCCATTCTGCCATGGTATTGACTGCAGCGTAGATTGGGAGGGAAGTGAGGAAGGAGTGGAAATGTTAGAGCACTAGTTTTCCACTTTGATGAGCATCAGATGCATGGGCTTGCTAGTAAAATGCTGGTCTCCACTCCAATAGCTTCTGATTTTAGGCAGGTGGGCCCAGACATTTACATTTCTAACAAGTTCCCAGAAGATGCTGATGCTGCTGTTCCAGAAACCACACTTTAAACACCATTGTGTTGGAGGAAGGTGAGCAAGGTGGAGGCTAGGTGGAAAATGTTTAACACCTGAACAAAAGCAGAGGCAAATTGATGCAGAGAAGAAACTTAAGAGATACTTGAAATTAGTAGCTGATAGCATGGTGGACAGGGGTGAACTTATGCTTTTTTGTTTTCTATCAAAATGATGTCTCGTTAAGGAAACCAATAATATTTTATTCATGAAACTAACATTAGTTAAAATTCAGTCAATGATATGTAGGGCAAGCATATTCTCCTTGGCTTTTGTTGGATCTACGTTTTTATACACACACAGAGCTGTGGAGCTAGCTATTCCACACCAGACTTAGGATTATGTGTTCTAATCCTGCCTCTTCCAGCTTGGAGACCTTTTATTATTTTCTCACCTAATGGGAATAACGACAGATAACTACCATGTTGTAATTGTTGATTAAATTACATACTATATATTTGTAGACAATTCAGAAATATTCCTGTGCCATAGAAACATATCATTAGTATTTTATTAAATATTAATCATTGAATTTTTCCCCAAGGTCATTTAGCTGACTTCAATAGCTCTGAAGTCAGCTATTGTACTCAGGGTAAAGTTGTTGCCAAGTTGAAACAGAGGATTCCTAGTAGAAATAGGCTGTGGAAGAGATAGCATTTGACTCATTTCTTTGTCTTACCTGTTCTGAAGTCACTTAAATTTCCATGTTCAGCTCCTGTGGTTATACCAGGTAACACTCCAGTTGTCCCTGACAAAGGTAAAGAAAAAACAAATATCTGGCTAAAAAAATGCATAGGCACCACCAACTATCAAGGTCATCAGCACATATAATTTTAACATTATACTTTAAGGAAGCAACTTGTGAAAAGACTAAAGATACGATATTTCAATTACATATAAGGAATAATCACCTAGCTCTAATACTTTTATTTTGCAAAATATTGTTCTGAGTAACATCACCTAAAATGAGTTTCTTAGCTGAGACTGGTATACTTTGTTCTGAATTTAATTTACCTGCCACGCCTGCAGCACCAGTGACGGTGGGGCTCACTACTCCTGTCGTGCCTGCATTTCCAGATGTTGAGATGATGGGAACTGAAGTTTCAGTAATGCCTGAGAAAAACATAAAATAAACGTCTCATCTAAAGTCTATTAGGACTTTATCACCATGGAGTGAGTTAACTGTTTAATCAAATTTACCATAGAAAATAGAATCAATAAAGCCAGTGACTTTCTGCCTAGAGTTCCCTAAGAATTTGTTTTAATATCATTGCCTTTTTTTCTTTTTTACAAATACAGCTTTCTGCATCTTGAACTGAGCCACACTAGTTCTTCATATATTTTTCTAAATAAGTGTTTTAAAATAAGCAGAACCTACAGCCACTGTGGAGAAAAGTTTGGAGGTTCCTGAGGAAACTAAAAATTGAGCTACCGTATGATCCAGCAATCCCACTGCTGAGCATATACCCAAAAGAAAGAAAATCAGTGTATCAAAGAGATATCTGCACTCCTACATTTGTGACAGCACTGTTTACAATAGTTAAGATCTGGAAGCAAGCTAAGTGTCCAGCAACAGATGAATGGATAAACGATACACGAAATGGAGTACTATTCAGCCATAAAAAAGATGGGATCCAGTCATTTGCAAAAACATGGATGGAATGGGAGATCATTATGTTAAGTGAAATAAGCCAGGTACAGAAAGACAAACATCACATGTTCTTATTTTATGGGATCTAAAAAAATCAGATCCATTGAACTCATGAACATAGAATGTAAATGGATGGTTAGCAAAGCTAGGAAGGGTAGTCAGGGGTTAGGGAGAGGTGGGGATGGTTAATGGGTATAAAAACATTTAAAAGAATAAATAATACCTACTATTTGATAGCACAATGGGGTGACTATAGCCAATAATAATTATACATTTTAAAATAACTTAAAGAATATAATTGGATTATTTAGAACACAAAGGGTAAATGCTGAAGCGGATGGATTCCCCATTCTCCATGATGTGCTTATTTCACATTGCATGCCTGTATCAAAACATCTCATGTATGCCATATATGTATATATCTACTATGTATCCACATTTAAAAAAATAATTTTTAAAATTTAAAAATAAAATGAAATAAGCAGATCCTTATGCCTTAATCACTGTGGCCTGGGGCTGATAATAACAATAAAGAAACACTATCATGAAATAGTTAATTGCTACGTTTAGGCTTAGAACAGCTAAGAGAGCTGTTATTAGATGTGCACATGTTTAAACTTTAAACATCTAAGATAGTAACGTATGTTATTAGATGTGCAACCCATAGTCTTTAAAAAAATTTAAAGATATTTACTACTGTTGCAGATATTATGTTAATAGTTAATGATAAAGAAGAAAATCAAACTGGAAACCATGTTTCTATAGCCAGTAAATATAGACTGATCAAAAACAAGTAAAATTCAAGGTTTTTAAAGAAAAATTTAAAGTCAGTGGTAAAAACCTAGTAAACTACTTGTTTGAAATATTTTTTCTAAAGCCAAACTGTCCTATACATTCTTTCTTTAAAACCCAAAGTGACTAATAATTTAAACTATTGAATATTTTTATTTAACATATAAAACCAGGAATTAATATACTGGCCTGTAGTAAAAGGCTCGGTGAGAGGACCTAGAGTTGTTCCTGAAAAGGAAAACAGAAATGATGTGAATTTTTCCAACCTCAAGGAAAAAATACTAGAGAGATTGTTCAGCTGTTGTGTAGTTTTCAATATAGAGTAATTTGTAATATATTTAGTGTTTAGAGTTAATAAAAAAAATTGTATTTCATTTTTTAAATAGTGACATACATGGTGTACTTTCCAATGTATACATACACACGCATACACATATGCTGAATTCTACTAAATACAAAGTAAATGGAATGTATATCAACAACGGCAATACATCCTCTGATAAGCAGAGGCTGATTTTGCAGTTTATGGTTTCTTCAACTTTTCTCAGCTTCTGGTTGTCTGCAGCTTGGATATTTTTATATTGAGTAACACTTAGTCTATAAGGACTTGGAGGGAAAAGGATAAATATTTTTTAAGATTTATGTTTATGATTTGACATAGCAGGTTTATAAAAATAAATTTGAATTTACCCTAAACAGCTGTTGTGGATTATCAGTGAACTCCTGAAGGAAAAGGCCATGTTTTACCTTTGTATTCTCAATGTCTGCCCATTGCTAGGGATGTGATAAAAGCTCATCACATGTTTACTGAGGACCTGTGCACTTAAAAATAAGCCTTTATTAATTTGGGGTTTTCATAAATAAAAAAATAGTCAGGCATTTTCTCTATTTCAATGTTAATTTTCATTGAAAATCCATGGAAATCCACTGCTTACTTTATGTAAACAATACTACTTTGCAATTTTATAGTGTTTTGGAACTTCAAAAAAAGAAGGAGAGAAACAAACTTCTCACACAATCTATTTGATCCTCACTCCTCGTCCAGCCACACTTGCCTTTCTATCTTTTCTACCTGCTGTTTGCAGTTCTCTGTACTTGGAACATGGTTCTTTCCTCCTCTTCTCCTACTTGAGCTTTCATTGGTCAGTTCTCAACTCAATCATCTTTTCTTCAGTCCTTCCTGAGCTCCTTGACTGGATTAAATCTCCTGCCTCTCATCCCAGGCCCTTTTAGATACCCCATAGCTCTTGTGTTGATGTAAGTTTCCATTTGTTTTTGTAATTACTTAATTGATATCCACATTCCTGACTAGGCTGTAGGCTTTATAAAGGCAGAAACCATGTCAATTTTAATTCACTTTAGTGTCTCCAAGGCCTATAAGAGTGCCTAGCACATAATAAGAGCTTGAGAAATATTTGTCCATAGAATGAATGAATGAATGAATGAATGAATGAATGAATGAATGGAGTAAAAATATTTTACCCATTTTCCTATAAAGAATGGGGCTCAGAAAAGTTGAGTGATTTGTTCAAGATCATACTGCTGGTTAGCGACAAAACTAGGACTCAAATGTAAGTCCCCCAGTATCTAGGACTGTGACCCATACTGCTTTTTATGTTATTCTGCCTGTATGTATAACACATCACCTCCTGCAGTTTTCAAGTTTTCTTAATTACCCATTCACCATGTTAATGGAAATATTAAAAATTAGACTAGAAATTATAGAACACAATATCAAGTAAAGAATAAAATATCCTGTCTCCCTGAATTACTTTACAGAATGTATATTTAAATAAGTAAGGTAACTAGTTTGAGAGAAAATTTTTGTGACAGTTATCAAGAGCTGACAAGGTTTAGTTGAGAAGAATTTTCAAAATCGGTATTACACAGACTCCACCAACTGACCAGCTCAGATCTTGATCTTCTCTCACTAATGAGCACAATAGTTGGACATTTGAATCAAAATATCTTGCTGATCTAATTGTAAGAGTAGCATGGAAAGACTGTTATGCCATGAACCCCAGAGACGATCAAGATTAGAATGATGTGGAAGAATAGATAGACCCTGATATTCCCAAAGATTTTGGTGCAGATTCCATTTCCTAGTATTGATTTAACCTTTATGGAATTCCAGTGATCCAATCTGAGCACTTTCAAACTGAAGACAATTGCATTTAATTAAAAGCAGCATTATCATATGGAATAAAATCAAATCTCCAAATTTACACATCTAAATAAATATGCTCTAATCAACATGGATTCAAGAACATAGTTGCACATCATAGGTGGTAGTGCTCTGATCATCACTATTTTTGCCATATGCACAAGAGAACATATTTATAGGCCTTTCCTTATAATTGATGTTGCTGAGATGGCAACATGCTCATGTGCATCTCAAGGACCGATCTTTAATCAGGGTCATAGAGTTATTTAAACTAGGCACAGATTGGAGTACAGACCAGTCAGGCTACTATGATATAGCTCCCTTTCCCCATGAATGAACTTCAGAAGATGTAAGTCTGAAATTATTGATACAGCAATAAAAGTAGGGATAAGCCTTTACTAACAGGAATACGTGAAAACTCACTTTTCTTCTGGGTTTAATTACCAAAACTGATAGAGACTGCATTCTCGTTCTCATTAATTCTGACATCCATAACCATTACAGTTTCAACTAATTTTTCTTTACTTGCAAATGAACATACATGCTGGAAGTACTTGATACTGTCAATTATTACGCGTCAGCTTCTTTGTGTACGAGACATAAATAGTAATAGGAGGAGCTGCCTTCACCAAAACACTAACTCCACCCTAAAACATTTTTTCAAGTGGCTTTGTCCACTTGGGTTTCACCTCGCTACAAACTTAATATAAAGTCTTTTAATTAATTTTCTAGCTACCACTAAGTTTTTAAATTAATTCTAAGAATCATTTTAATTTTTACAAGGAAAAAATATTTTGGCATTTTTTTCAATGAAGTTTATTTTACTTAAAATATATGTCTGAAAGATAAACTTCAGGAGTATCCATAACATTTCCCCTCATAAACAACAAATTCAGTACTGCAGAGTCTACAGCTTTTGCAAAATATCTTATTCTGAAAAAGTTTAAAAATTCATAAAATTGGCTTTAATTCAAGAAGCAGTATGTTTCTGATTAGTAACCTATAAAGTATTAAACTCCCCAACTAAAATATAAACTCATTCACCTAGTTAATCATTCCTTATAAAATTCACTAATAATAAAGTTGCCTTTACTGAATACTTCCTATGTATTACACTAAGCTGCACTATCACATTTACTGTTTTCTCAAATCTTTCCATGTAGAGATTATTTTTAGTTCCCACTTCACAGATGAGAACACTAAACCTCAGGCTGCTTGAGGGACTTAAAACAGGGTCAAACTTTAAGGGGAGGGATTCAAATTATTATTTTTCTAATTCCACATTCCATTATACTCATCTACCTCCCTTTGCCTGATGCGATTTTTTTTATGATTGATGCTATTTTATAATAAGCACATTGTATAAACAAAATTTATACATAACTTACAGTTGTAACATTCTAAGTTTTTAAATTTTTGAGTAAATATGCATTTTAACAGATTATATGGTTGTGTAACAGAAACTCACTTTTAAATTATATGTCAGTATCCCACGTATTCATTCACAGGGGGGATTTTTTTGTTGTTGTTTTTTTAATATAAACCTACTAAACAACCTATGATTTTATCATAAGTTCCAATTTGAAATCAGAATCTGTAATTACATGTTGCTTCTTCAATAACTGATGTAAATTAAATTCAACTTCATCCTCTTCTTTAAACATGGAAACACCGGGGCATTAGGACTGGAGTCTAGAAAATATGTTCTGAATTTTAATTATCTCTGCAACTTATTAGCAAGTAACCTTGAATGTATAACTTAACCTCTTTGTGTTTCCATTTACTCATTTGTAAATAGGGGGAAATGATGGCACCACTTCAGGGAATTTTCTGTATCAAATCACATAATATATGTCATATAGGTAGAGTAGTGCTCAGTAAATATTAGCTCTGTATCAAGATCAGTCAATCTAAAAAGGAAAAGCCCCATAACTGCATAATGTTTCTTCTAAAAATAGCATGCTTATTAGAATGGTTAGCTAGGCATCTCTCAGGGTATTTTAGCCCTCTGAAAGCATTCACTGTATGGAAAAGATGATAGATACAGAAAGCATGTGGAGAAATTAAAGTCTGCACACTGCTTCCCTTTCACTTTAGAGTTTTCTGCAATGTTTTTCTAAACTGCTCAAAAGTATCCTTTACTTCTATGCTATTTACCTCAACAAAAAAGTTAAGGTCTATTCAACAATGAAGTCATACCTTGTCTCCTATGCAGTACTTGGTCAAAAGTACTTTATCCAGAGAACAAGTCAGTGGCAAAAGCCTGCAGCCCCTACCCCACTGCCCCGCCGAGACTCTTTTTAAAATAAATGTTATCTTTGTGTTCAATAATTATAGGTTTTTATGTTCAAATGATTTATTTTTAAGACAAAGCAAAAAGTAAAAGTAGGAAAGTTTTAACCAAGTTAATTTATCCCACTTATCATATTGGTTCTGCTCAAAAGCACTAATACATTATCCACAATGAAATGGGTTTCCATGTCCAAGAAACAAATCCTTTCATTTATTATGGATAGTTCATGGAGAGGAAATACATATTTGAAATAAAGTGTCTTCTTAGCTATATTATATCTGAAATATAATCTTTTACTTTTCAATCTCTAAGTATCTTTGGTTGATGCATACTATATTTTGAAAGAAACAGAAAAAAACACCCTTTGCTAGTGATGGTGTCAAAACACTTATTTTAAAATAAAACAAATATGGGATTCATTGTTCTCATAACTGATCAAGTGAGGCTTACCACCAGAAAACTTAAAAACAAAATCATTTTGTAGTTAGGGATTCATCACAATTTGAAAATGCCACTTTTAAACCACCAATGTCAGTGAAAGAAATAGGATGCATCTTTCAAGTCTACAATTTGTGCAAGACAATTGCTCTACAAAAGACCTTTTTTTTTTTAATTCTAAAAGCAAACAACTTAAACTGTTTCGTTTTCACAATGACATAATGTTTATTGGATGAATTTAGAAAGAAAAAGAGTGTGAAAAGAAAAAATAAGTTGGTGTCTCTTAAAGGAAAATGTTTTATTCTTACATGAAAAATGAAAAATAATAGATGTGACTTTTTTTCCTTTGGAGCGCCAAAATAAAAATACCAGTAAACCCTTATCTAGCACTTTCTGGGTTTCTTCTGATTACCATCCTCATTTTATATAAATTATTATGATTCCTCAGCCAGAAGAAAATTGGCATATCATCTCTTAGTTGCTAAAATTCAGAAATACCACATTTTAGTTTGAATAGTTTGTACTCAGTCCAAGTCCCTAGCACAAGTTGAAGTATACTATTTATGATTTCCACTTAATCGAATGAACAAAGATGACCATCTGGCATGCGCCAAGCCCTCAAGTCACAGGTTTTAAGGAAAACGAAGTTAATCATTATTTGAATGATTTCTAAATTCCCATCTGTATAGTGTGATACGGTCATAGCCTCAGAAAAGATAAGGAACTAAGAATTACCTCTAATTCTTACCACTAATTGTTATTTTTTAATTGAAATTTGATACATTTAACTAAAATTTAATTAAAGTTTTGTATGCTTCAGTTTATCTGGAAAATTAGCACTTCCTAATCTGTTCTAGCAACAAGATAAGCTATACATACACTATTAATAAATGCTGGGAATATATTATTAATTTGATAATCAATGTTTTCTGCACATTGGGATTACTTGACTAACTTTATTTGAAACACACACATTTTGTGGCACAATTGGAAAATTTTAATATGAGGGAAAAAAATAAACATTTTTATACTTCTTTGTCTCCTGATTTTATAATGATGTTGACTACAGTTTCTGGCTTTCATGGATAACAAGAAAAAGAAAACCAATCCTGACTTCTCTCTAGATCATGCCAGAAAGTCCTTTTCTTTCTGATCCTTATAACCCTGAAAATGTTAGTTAAGCTCTTTGCATTTCCTCACCTTTAAAATGATGAGGTGAGGAAGACTGTGGAGAATAACAATCAGAGGATTAAGATTTAATGAGATACTGAATGAAAAATATTTAATATAATGACTAGAATAAGGTAAATCCTCAATAAAAGTCATTTTTAGCATATTTTTCAATAAAATAGTAACATACCATTTGGTTAATTATTAATATTATACTTACAGAGCATGAAATATCTACTAGAATTTCAGGGAAATTAAATAAAACATTAGGATTCAGTAAGGCAAAGCACAAAAGTCATAAATAATATCAAATGAATTCAAGGAAAAAATCACCCAGGTAATCTTTCCTATAATTCAACTCTGCATTTGATTTATAATTTTTAAAATGCTACCATGAAGATAATTGATAAGTTTTTTTAGTGTTTTACGGTAAATGGGACAAAATATTACATCTAAAACTTAATCAGTTGCTCACAAAAACCTTATCAGGGTAATCTACTCATGATGTTCTGTTTTCCATGGACAGTTAACTTACTACAGTACAAAGTGTTGACAAAATAAAACTGAATATTACATTCAAAACCAGGTGTTTGAAAAGGAAATTATATATTTTATATATTTATATACATATAATTTATATATTTTATATATATGTATATAAGCTAGAAAAATTAATAATTTATATATTTTATATATATGTATATAAGCTAGAAAAATTAAACCACTTTTTATAGTTCTAGGTAAGTATTGTGATATAGGATATAGATATCATCATCATGATACTGAAGAAATAGAAATAGTTATCTAAGCTGGTTATGATTCATGCGTATCTATGCAGTTCATCGAATCAAGGAAAAAATTATTTCTTTAAATGATCACAAGATACGAAAGTTTTAATAGCTGATGAACGACTTTGACTAAAGGAAAGCTTAGTAACTGAACCAAATTAATCATCTTAGAAACAGAGCCAGGCTGAAAATTAGGGATTCAGTCCACTGCTTGCACCGGAGGTAACACGTAGCTAGAAAATTACTCTGCGGTGCATGAGAAATAATTCAAAAAACTATTGGGATGAAATTGTTATTAGTCCTGGGAAATGAATTTATGATTACAGACTGCAGAAAAACATTTTTGAAATGTGTCAGGCTTTCTGAGATTTACATTGAAAGGGCCAGTAATGCTTTGTGTCACGAATGGTATCCAACATAAGAGAAAGTTTGACAGGAAGTAGCATGTTGTTTTTGGTATTTTTAATAATATTGTGCACTATGATAGCTGATGCTTTAAGATATACATATGTATTTACTCCTTTAATATAAAAATATATTAATTTAAAAATAGACAACACTAAGGTTTACAAAATGTTCAAAATTATAGTCACAATTCTAAATTATGATATCAATTTATAATCCAATAATAGCCTTGGTTTTACACTGTATCTTTGTATTGAAGATTAGCTCTAATGAGTGAAATGTATGAACTGTTGGATTGATCAGTATAACTAATATTTAACAAATAGTTTAACCTTCACCAGAAATTCTGAGCTAAAGTTCTAAACCTGAGTTCTAAATTTTTGACAGGGAAAAAGAAAAGTCATTCATTCACTCTGTAACTACTTACTGAACACAAACTAATCTGTACCTTAACATTAGGTACAATTGGGAATTCAAGGATGGCGAAGCATGGCCTGTGACTTGAAGTAATGTATTCATTTAAGACTTGATAAGTTAATAAATAATAAAGAAAGAGAATTAGTGCTAAGTTGGGGGTAAAGACTGTAAGTATAGAAAAGTGAGTATATGAAAGATAGTGCAGAGTTGGAAGGTTGAAATCTATGGATGATTTTCTCAGACACATAGATTCTAGAAAGAAATGACATACACTATGCATGTGAATCTTCAATTAAGTAAAAATGACATCTTTTTAATTGTATAATTAATTAGTTTAAAGAAAAGAAGGTGACTATTATATATTACAAACAACAACAACATGTAGAGTCACAATGCTAAACTGTCTGCTAGCCATTTTTTGTGAATTTTTTAATCATATTTTCATATACATTAAAGACACTGAAACATACTGAATACATTTTTAAATTTAGGTGGAAAGATAAAATAGCAAACTAAATTAGGGAAACTGGATGGTCAGAGGGAAAATTCAAACCCAAATATTTTAATGTGTAATCAAACTGATGTTGATTCTAATATTTAAGTTGTTCAAGGTTTCAGATACAAAACCTTTATTCAAAACTTTATTCGTCACTTATGGATTTTCTGATTTACCTACCTGTTGTTTCACTGCTTGATGTTGTAATCGCTGGAATGGATGCTGCTGAATTTGAGAAAGCAATGGAAAAAATAAGTTTTATATGCAGGGGAAATTATACTTCCAAGAACATCTATAGTCACATGCAAAATGGATTAACTTGAAATGACTGTATCAGACAAAAAATCATCACATAGGTGAACAGAAGCCCAAATATTAGTTTTAAAATGTATAGGTCCCAAGTAAAAGGTCAAAAAACCTTATCATTTGGTATAATGCTTTTTTTCCCCAAAAGCTTTCTCTAAAAAATTCTTTTTATAAAAGAAACTTTGCCTATTTCTTCTAAAAATGTCATTACAAAGATACAATACTGCAAAGGAAGTTCTGGGTGTTTTTAAAAATCCCTCGTTGATTAAGTTGTGGCTTAGATGTTACAGCTTACCTATGCCTGGGCTACTGGTAACCAGCGTAATTGCTATGCAAAGAAGAAGACAAATATTTGGAAAAATACATTAAACTGGTATTGAAAGATGAGGTTAACCATACCTATTTAAACATGTTTCAAGATCTCCAGAATGCAAATAAATGATTAAATGTAACAGTTAAGTTCACTTATCAGATGTTTACACATTTCAATATACTTTCGTACTCCGCTAGCTACTGTTTTAATGACAAAGCATCCAATGAAAGTTAAAGATTTCTTGGTGTTAATAAAAGAAATTGTAAATTACTTTCAAGGAATTTAACATAGAATTTTCTGACATAGCCACTTTCTCCAAATCAGCAGAATGTAGAATGTTCTTCTTAGGACAGACAACCTTTGAAAAGGGAAGATGTTCTTTAATAATGTTACAATTACGTACAGACCTGCTATTTGGCATGGGCCTTTAGCAAATACATAAATGGAGAATGAAAACTTTGAAAAAAGTACCATGATTCCCAAACTATCAATTATCTTTGCTGCTCATTTAGGAGCTATAAAAATAGTTAGCACTTTTTAATTTATTTACCTGCTCCGGTGCTTAATATGGCAGTAGCTGTTGTAGTGGAAACTGTTTAGGAAACACAATATTTATGAAAATAAATTAATTGAATAATTTTTGCTGCGAAATATAGCTCAAGAAACCAGTTGTCATAAACTAAAAGTAAAATTTCTGAAACATGTGCAGAGGTTAAGTGACAAAATAATTTTTTATTTACATCTACACAAATAACACCATATATTTATATATGTCCACCAAAAATAACTATTTCCTGTTATTATCACTTAACCAAAATCTCATAGGAACTTTATAAGGTCTCTTTATGGGCCAATAACGACTTTAAAGGAATGTGGTTCAGAACCCTGACATGATAACTTCACTTCAGGTAAGTGACCAAAAATAACTAAAATTTAACTAGCATTTTACAGCAGATTGCATAATTTTAAATAAATTGTCAAAGCCTCGCTGTTGGAAGCTCACTGTTGGAAGCAGTGAGCCCTGATCGTGCCACTGCACTCTAGCCTGGGCAGCAGAACAAGACCATCTCTACAAAATAAAAAATTAGCCAGGCATGGCAGCGCATGCCTTTGGTTCAAGCTACTCAGGAGGCTGAGATGGGAGGATCACATGAGCCAAGGCAATAGAGGCTGCAGTGCACTGTGATTGCACTCCACCCTGGGCGACAAAGTGAGACCCTGCCTCAAAACAAGAAAGCAAGCAAAACAGGAAGCAAGAAAGCA